CATTTGAAATTTGACTAGGCCAATAGTTAACATCAGCACTCTTTATCGGCTGCACAGAAATATGATATACAATTACTCGCATCTATATACTTAGTCTAGACAAGTCGCAAACTGGCGGTTTTCACGATTTGCGGGTGACAGTGACATTATCACAGTCACACGGGACCTATGATCGTTTCAAATTGCTCGGTCGCCTAATGAATGGCAAACAGACCGGCCAAAACAAACGCCCAAGGAGGTTGAACTTCAAAACTTTTTTTTCCTTGTTTGTTCCGAGACAAAAGTGGTCTGTTAATATTAGTTTAAGTTAATTCTAAGATTGTTTTCGTCTAATACACCGAGAAAGTTACCCAATGATCTTTAGAATGTTGTAAAATGTAGACGGTAGCATATTATAAGCAGTTCTAGCATGTCTTTATGTGACACCGTAATTGTGTGAGAACTAATTTGATCAAAATATCATTATTTTCTGACACTTTCATCAATTAATTTTATTTAATAGATAGTTATTATAATTTAACTGATTCCTATTCAATTGTAATTAAAATACTCAAGTATTTTTTTACCATATTAATGTTAATAAGAGTTCTTAAAATTGAAAATTTAATGACAGATTGCTTTTTAACTTTAGCTGAAGGATTAAAGTAAAAGAAAACTAATCTCATAATTATTAGAGCTCACGTGTGCCATGCTTCATGAAAAACGTGGCATAATAACCAAAGAAGAAAGAAAGAAGAAAGAAAGAAAAGTTTTTATTATAGGTAACACAGATTAAACCAAGAAACAATAACTAACATAATAAAATTGCACATAACTAAGAAATTAAATTAGACTTAAAAAATCATGTTTTGATAATTAAGGTTGAAATATTTATAACCAAATGTTACATTCATTTAAAGAAACAAAAGCAATTCTCTGTTTCATTCATTTGTTTAAAACAAACAACTTATCATTAACAAGGTCGCAAACAATTAATTCCAATATCTTGCAAATCAAGTTCTCTACACAATTGCCAAGCTGACAACCTTGTCTACTAACACAACACACGGCAAAGCGCAAGGCTACAAGTGCATCAGATTCGATATAAAAGCGACTGTTTATTTGATTTTCTGCTCGTAACTAACGCTAGTTTCACACCAGGGCACAACTGTCGAGGATAGAGTAATGCAAAAAGCAAAAACATTTTTTTTATATTTTGCTACAATAGCGAATTTAACGCTATTATTAACTTAAACTAGGTAAAGCAGCCCACCATTAATGTACAGAGGACGTAAGGAAAATGGATATTTAAAATTACCCTCATTTATCAGGCGACACGTAGCACAGCTTCCGAGGTATCGCACCGGTCCGGCTGACTATTACTTAACCGCTAATATTTCTGCTGACTCTACATCCGTTAAAGTAGTGTTTTGGTAAGTGTACAAGTAAGAACAACACTGCACTTTCTACTGTTGTGCTTTATTGTACTGCCCTCGTGTGAAACTACCATAAGCCTCGGCCAGCGAACTCTCGAGCACGCGCCTACACCACAGATCATAAACTACCCACTACAAGTATACGTTCAGTTATAAATAAATTCACTCCAATATCGTTATTAAAGATTACAACACGTAAGAGACGCTCTACATTTTTTTTCGTAAAAATCAATAATGCCGTGTTTACATTATGCCAGTATAGTAGGACAGTAGTGATGAATGCGCCTGGCGTGAAGTCACTGGCACCAGTAAATGTGAAACAATAATATAATATCCAAATAATTTAATAATTATGTAAATACCAATTGAATATATGTAAATTGTAGGTTCAATTTTGATGTAGCACGTATTATAATTACATAACATTTTGAACGTGTTATCAAAATTTTACATATGTAATTTTGTTATTCAAGAGATCATTCGTTCAAAAATATAACCTTTAACCTCACTATAAGATTATTTATCAAACAAAATACGTCAATAACATTTTAAAGTCACACTTAGTAATTAGACATTTCTACGAAATTTTATATTAAAAACATGAAGATTCAAAGTTTACAAAGTTTTATCCGTATTACGAAACATAATAACGACACAAATATACATTTTACATCATAATATTATATTACTCGTCCCCTTGCAATAAGTGCATTGTGCATGACTCGCAGTCAGCATTTTGTCCCCGTTGTTTTTATTATTACCAACGTAACATTCCCCTCTCTCTACATTTTAGATTGAACAGAAATTTAATCGCAACAGCATACACTACGAAAGATTGTTTTAAATGTAACAAAAATTACTTTAAAGTGTACACTTAGGTAGTTATTCAAAAAAAACTCTTATCTTCTCGAAGCTTATCGGAACGCTCGAACAACTTTTCACGCTATAAATTGCAATTAAATCTTGTACATTTATTACTTACTTACCATTTATTTTCCTCATGCCAGCCCTAGACCTTCACTGCACCGCCAAAATCCTAATCCCAGTACTCAGTAAATAACACATACACAACCACAAACTTTCATATACTTCACAAATAACACTTTTAAAATACAAATTATTGTAATATAACTCGATAATAAGTAATAATAACTAAGTTGTTCACACTTAATTTAAAGTTTATAAAGATGAAAACACAAAATTGTTTATCACAAAGCGATCTACACCCACGCAAACATGTTGCGACGCGCGTCAACGCCGCGTGACTGCAGCATGTTCGTGTCACTTTGGCGCTGCGAGACCGAAGCGTAACTTACGTATAGTTCTGTACTTGAATCAAAGATGGCGCTATAAAATAAATTAAATGTTCTTGTTTACAAATGATTGAATATAATAATTGGGCTACAATTTAATAAGAAGTCTTAAAACAACCATAGACGATGTAATCAAGGTTCTGAATCGTTTTCTTATTTATATTTAAACGGAAATTACTAAAAGCTCTGAACTCAAACTTGAATAATTTTACGAGCTTATTAAGTTACACATAACCTTTGAACAAACTTTTACCACATTACTTTTTCACACATTTAAAAACAGTAACTATTCTACAAAAAAAAATCGTTGTTAATATACACTTACCTTAAATTACCAGAAGTGTTTGTGTATTTCCAAGTTTTTAGGTTATAATGGAAACGACAAAACAGCACTTCACTGAAGGGAAAATTGAAAACAATGTTCTTTTAAACCAAAATAAAAATTTCTTCTTTACAAATCACAGAAAGTTTCAGTAAATAAATTGCAAAAAAACGTTAACTTAAATACATAAAGCACCACCAACGCATTTCCTGAAAAAATGTTAATGGTTTTTCCACTTCACAAGCGTTAAAAACACGTTTTACGGCAAAAAACGACCGATAACACTATCCATCACCCCATTATTTTCACGACTTGAAGTTAGCAGCAGAAGCTCACGTCAAAATATACCGTAAATAACACCGTATGCTCGAGAGGCGCACCACTCTTAAGTTACATCTGCACATAACTTAAATTCACGTGCATGTTCGTGTTTCGATTCAGAAATTGATATATCAAGATTTTGAAGCTTTAAATCGATGCCGGCCGGCTTTAGCGTACGTGGACGAACGACTATCGGCGTGTCGTAGCTAAGCTATGGACTTGGCAAGGCGGTTTCGCTGGCGAGGGGGCGGCGCGTCGTATAAACTCGTATTACAATACGTTAAATCGCCTCCAGCCCTCGTCGACTGCAGTCGCAATGAGCGTGTACTCTACTGCGACATCCTAGAGTACACTCTTAACGTACACACGGCCAATTAACTTGAGCTTAATGACGCTTTTCCATTTCAGAGCGCGGAGACTTTAGTTACTACTGTTATTATCTTTCTGAAACAAAGTACCGGTTACTTTTTAAAACGTATAAATGTTGGATATTTTCTTGTATGTAGATTCTAGAAATATTATTTTATTAATTAATAATTAATTGATAATTAGTAAAAAGAATACAGGTAATTTATCAACAAAGCCCCCGTACCATGGAAAAGGATTTAACATTGAAGAAAACGACGAAGATGAAAAGCGGCAATTTATCCGGTTCATATCTTTCTGTACATTTCATTACTTCCGCTATGTATGGACACGACGGGGTTGAGTCGGGGTTGCTCGTGCAAGCTCGGTCGTCTTCGGCTAATTCCGACGGACTAATCGATACCCGTCAGGCATGCTACGCTACCGTGAATAGATGCTACGAGTCTACAACCGTAGCCTACGCTACAACTCCGGCTGTATTTAATGGTCGACGAACTTGACACCACACGTAGAGTTCGTTACATAAAATCCCACGGAACTTGCTCAATTAAATAATATAAGTTGCTGTGTGTGCTTGTGGTTTTTTTTTCAATTTATCGCTAAAAGATTCGAACTTGGTTTGTTTTTAATTTAAATATTCGACAAGTCTCTTATTGAATTTTCAGAGCCTTTGAATCCTGATTTTTTTTTAATATTGTATCGCGTAATTTAATATTTAGCAACTGCTTCCTCCGAGTCTTTAATCCGAGCTCTCCCCTAATAACATGCTAAGTAATTGACAATATTACCCATTTAATACGCCCCTTTCAAGGGTTTGGTAGTCAAGAATATTTCTCTTCTTCTCGAAGAAATCTCTAAATGTTATTTTCAGCTTTTACTACGAAAAATTAAAGATCTTTAGATGTCCTTTCGTGATATTTGAAGAAACGTAAAAAAAAATATTGCGGCCCTCTTGCGCTCAAACTAAGAAACTTCGGATTATACAATTTTAAATTTTATCATATTATATTTTAGGGCAAGGATTCAGTGTTGAATCTTTCCCCATAAAAATGTTGTACTTTTACAACTTGAAAATGTAGTGAGCGTAATGTTGGTTGTTTGTCAAGGTAAAACACAACTTTATATAAAAAATATTAATGCTTCTGCTGGCAGCATTTTACTGAAGATTTTTTTTGTTTGCAACACTTTTCGCAATTTGCGTCAAGGTGTGTGTGTGTGACACACCCAAAGAGTATGGTATACTTACTATACTCTTTGGGTGTGTCATGTGTCAAGTGTCAAAATGTCAGCTTTTCACAAGTTGTCTGTAATTCTCATTGATTTGTTATAGTTTCTTTAAGTTTTACTAATGTTAAACCAATTTTTAATGTTACTTTGTTATGTTATAAATAAATGAATACGTATGTAATGTGGTCGTCATGCATCCGGTAGTCTCAATGCTCAAATGAATAATAGAAATATTATAAAAGTTGTTTCAAAAAATTGTCTTTTAACATATTTTAGTGTTGAATAGAAGAACGGCACAATGAATAAACCAGTTATTTTATCGTTAGTATACATTTTAATTTGATACAGTAGCATGACAGTCACCTTTTTGTTGATTGTAACTAAATTATTACAGTGGATACGACCTTGTGGCTAAAGGAATAACTAAAAATCAAGCAACTTTACCTGAATTGGGCTTGAAAGATATATTCCCTAATGGCTCTTGGCTCGAGGCTAAGCAGATACAATCCGCTATAGATGCTCGAAAACAACTTATTGCTGCCGAACGAATTGAAAAAAGGTAAATGTAACTTGCTATTAAATACTTTGTGTTAGCAGTTTTATCAAAAAGTTAATGCGTGTACATGTATGTGTTGTCCAAAAAGATCTATTACAACTCGAACTATCAAAGTTTCTCATAGTGTATTCTAGATATTGCTTGACAAATTCTCTTTCATCCGAGGTAAAAACATTATCACGTGGAATATGTTACATTTAAACAAAGGGATAATCCAAGATTAAGAAGATGAATTATATAATTATGAATTCATTTGTTTTAGTGGTATGTTGAGTCATGCAGAATGGAGAGAAAACTTGATGTTAGCGGCGGTGATACAAAAATCAGGTGGTCATTGGCAGTTCATGGGGCATAATGTTGGAAAACAATTATATTTATATCCCGAAGAAGCCCTTTTCTTGATGGAAATTGTAAGTTTACAATATTTGAGTATTATTTATCTCAGTGCCGTTGCTAGTTTAGGTTGTGTTTGGGTGACTGATTCACTGGACAGTAAACCACAGATCTGAGAATTACAGTCTAAGATTACTTTGTTAACTTCTCCCCTCCAAGGCAAGGGGTATAAAAGGAGGGCACCATAGAAGTCTCACCGGGGCACTGTAGTACACTATAGGGCACTAGAGTAAAAACCATTACTGATGTATTATTCATGTATTTTACTTGTCCAAATTTTCTTATCATAGTAACCTTTTTTTATTAAAACACTAGCCGTCGCCCGCGACTCTGTCCGCGTGGGTATATAAAAAAACTTAATATATAGATAAGTTAAATAAAAAGAAGCTCTTCAAGGCATAAATTCGAAAAAAAAGAATAAGTAGTAGCCTATGTCCGTCTCCTGGCTCTAAGCTACCTCCTCGCCAATTTTCAGCCATATTGGTAAAGCCATTCGTGAGTTATAAATAGTGTAACTAACATGACTTTCTTTTATATATATAGATTAGCAGAATTTACTAATTTCCTTTGGCTATGTTATGGTTTAAGACAATAGTTGAATTGGCTGATGAATCCACTGCCACAATATTGATAGTTTGTACTTGTAATTTGTCTTGTAAGTGTAATTTGGCTATCGGTGCTTTTATCTGATGGTTTTTATATTTTCAGAATAGTCTACTCCTTAAACATAATGATGTAAAAGTTTCTCTACAACAAGCCTATGATTTATTGCTAAGAGATAAAACATCGTTTATTCAATATAAAGTTTACGCAACTTTGAGTAGATGGGGTTATAAAGTGTTTAGACATATGGATACAAATGCTTTGGATATATGTTATACAGATGAAACAAATATTACATCAGAAGGAAATAATTCAGAAAATTCATTAATGAAAATAGTTGATGATGAATTAAAAATTGTGGAAACTGATAAACAGAGTGATGTGATATTATTAAGCAATGATGATGAAGAGAGATGTAATTTAAAAAGAAAATCATCAGTAGTTGATGATCCCGATGGTAAGTAATATTTTTTGTTTTTATTTATCCATGTAACTAGCTGTTGCAAGTGACTTCGTTCGCACAGAATTGAAAAAGATCTTAATTAGTAGCCTATGTGTTCTTCCGTACTGTGTTTTACATTTATACCAAATTTCAAAAGAATCTATGCAAGCCGGTCTTGACATAACTTGTAACAAACGTCCAAATTTCATTCCAATTCCAAATTCGCGTTTTATACTTGTAAGATTTGAGAAAAATGACATGACGAAAACGTATGACCAATTATTTACGATTAAATTATTCACACTTTCGTGAGACATTATAACAAACTTGTATAAACACGGCTAAACACTCACGTATATTCGTCCGGTGTCGGCACCGACTAGTCAGTGAGCGACTGGCCACGTCCGCGAAATAATACCAGTCCCACTCACTTTGATGCAGGACTCCCGATGGGCTCGAAACTAGTCGGTGCCGCCACCGGACGAATATACGTCAGTGTTTAGCCGTTTTTATACAAGTTAATTATTATTTACGTTTTCAGATTTGCAAATTAATGAAATGGGCGAAACTCCAAATTGTAAAAAGCCTAAAAGTAAAGATCAATCATTTATCTATCTATATAAAATAGATAAATTAAAAAACAGACAATTAAAGCCATGTAATACAAATGAACTGCACAAATACTTTGAAAATATACCAAATTTATTAAACAGTGAAGTAGTAACTCTAAATGTACCTAACGAAAGATTCATTCCAAAGAATATATCCTTTAATAAAAGTACTTATGTACTTAATTTGAACTCAGTAAGAACTAAACAATTACGTGTCCCATCTCCACAAGAATCTCAAACATCTAATTCTACAGATGACATTAATAGAGCTAACTTTACGAGAATTCGTGGCAATTATAACAGATATCAAATACCACCATACATACATTATTCCCCTATGAATGACCCAAGGAATATTCCATACCGACCATTTAACTGGTGGCATTCATATGCAAGAGTTAATAACTATAATTTCAATATGTCATTTCAAAGACCACTTTTAGGTAATAATTTCAATATGTCATTTCAAAGACCACTTTTAGGAAATTTGCTCTTCCCACCCAGATTTCAATATTTCCCTAGATATCAAAACTTTTATAGACCGCGTAATAATTTTAATCGTCCATATAATCGACGACAAAGGAAAAGATCGCGAGATAGTACCAAGAAATTTCATTTGGAATCTTTAAAGAGATTAGCTGCGAGATTAAAAAATCTTGTTACATCTGGACAAGTGCATACAGAACCATTGGCTGCTATAAACAATTTAATACAGACGTATAATTCTCGTTATGCTTCGAAAATTAAACTTTCAAATGATTACGAAATTATTGAAGATCATAATATTTTAGACACGATAGAACTAGATGACGATGGTGAACAGATAAAGAAAAAACCACGTTTATCAGACTCCGATACTTATACTATTAATTTTAATAACATAATAGAAATGGCAGAAAGACTAAAGAAACTTGAAAATGATAATAAATCATCTGCACGTCATAGAAGAGCATTTTCCAATCTAATTAAAACATTCAATAAATCTTACAACGCAGATATTTATGTGACAAATAATTTTAAAGTTCTCGATAGAAGTTTTATAAGTCTAGAAAGTTCTTCAGATTCTGACTGCGTAATAGATGAGAATGCTAACTCTAGTGGTAAAAAAGTACGGAATCCATTTAACATATTAAAACGTCTTTCTGAAAAACGCAACAAATCATTAGACGCGCCAAGCACAAGTAGTGATTTTAATAATGAAAAATATGAATCAGACGATTATCGTGACATAATACAAAAGAATCTAAGTAAAGAATGGATACCGGATGATAACGATTTTGGAAGACCTGAAATTTATGGTATTAATAACGAATCAAATATAGCCAATTTATTTTACGAATTTCTAAAATTTCATCCAGAAAATTATGAAAATTGGTTAGACCTGAAAGTATCTTTCTTGAGTAGTCTAGAAGAGACTGCAGATTTTTTTAGAAAAAAGACTAACACAGTAAGCGTACAGAACAGATCTTTAGTATCACCTGAAGATTGTGTCGACATAGTTTCAGTGTTGAAAAAGTTAAGCATTATTAAATCTCATAATGAGACCGGTGAAACAAATATTAAAATAGATTTCAATGTATACAACAGAGATGTACAACATTTTAGAAAGACCAATCCTCCTGTACCACATTTCAGAATTTCATGCTTAGAGTAAGTATAAAAAGTATAGGTAATGTTTATAACATGAATAAGAATATTTTATTATATATAGCAGTTGTTAACTGCGACTCCGTCCGCGCGGAATTAAAAAAAACTTAATTAGTAGTCTACGTGTTCTTCCAGATTATGTTCTACATCTATGCCGAATTTTAGTAAGATCCATGCATCCGTTCTGAAGATATCTTCTTACAAATATCCATCCATCCATCTTAATATATTAGTAATATAAGATACGTCTTTTTTAATTCCTATCGTTGTATTCGTGTATTTTTTTCAGCGAATCAGAGAAATTTCCCAGCGGCGAAGAAATAGCAAGCCTTCACGCAAAATATAATGATGACGTACGAATAATATTTGCTATAGTCGGCACAGGCACAATTAACTTTGTACAAATAAAACCAATTAGTTTACCTACACACATTTCTAATAATGTGACCTGATTATCTCTTACTAATATAATAAAACAAGTATATCAATAATTCGTTTTTATTACAACTATTATTATAATTTTGACATTTAAAGCTATATTTTTAAAACGAATCATGGCACGTGTGATAAGGATGGCTCTGTGCATTAATACTAAGTGTAGCATTCGTTGTGTTGTATTTGGCTCGTTCACGTACCGACACGTGTTACCGGTCCAACGGTCTGACATCGACTGACGTCACCTCTCTACGGCATGTACTTATAGCGTGTACGCCCGAGACAAACAACACTACGTTTATGCATACACTACACTAAGTTTAACAAGTAAAATGGAATAACAATCAAAATTACACTTAACAGTCTGTTTCATCTTCGCAATATTTCGTTTAAATACACAACCACTAGAAATTATTTTTGATTTAATTTTATCTATTCGTAAAGAGGGTAGACTTAAAAAAATCCAGTAAAAAAAACATTCAATGTGTTCTAGTAAAGTCATTCACAAATAGAATAGCGATTATTCTACAAATTAAAAACTGGACTCAAAACAACTATTTTTATTTAATTAAATTTGTTTTATGTCTACCCTCTAATAAGTCTTCAGACCAACTTATAACTACATATTCAAGAATACCCATTACCACAACCGTTGTTTGTAATGTATTATAATTACAATTATAAATTATTCTACAATATAAGGAACTAATCAATGATATGATAGGAACTTCCTATTAACCTACTAACTATAAAATTACACCAAAAATGGTGAAGATAAAACTACAACACAAAACTTAGCAAAACGAGTACTGCTTTTTAGTCATATTCAAGCTACAAAATGTCAAATACCTAAAGAAAAAAGTTAAAATAGGAAACGTACAGGATTTCTTGTTGTTTCTTAAGCAATTACAATACAAGTTATTACTAGAAATATATATTAATTTCTATGTACTTTATAAATCCAAGTACCAAGTAGTATGGTTCTTTATCAGAAATTATCATTATGTATTACTTTAGTTTTATTTGATATGTCCTAACCCAACCTTACATGTTAAAAGCGCAAAACACAACAATTTTGTATATGTTTATCGATTTCTAGCCTAATTTTTGGAAGCAATACTATGATATTAAATACTATGAGTACGTAATTGTATTAACTATTTTTTTATATAAAAACAATAATTCAAATAACGATTAGTTAACCTGGGTACTAACGGACGTTACAAGGTGTAATGTAACATGTTACACGGCAAGCATTCATCAGTCAGTGCGTTGTGTTCCCCGTAACATAACGTACTGTATAATTTTAGTGAATGCTCGCCGTGTTTCATGTTACATTACACCTCATAACGTCGGTCACTCCCCAACTTTAGAGCTTTAAATGTGTTTTTAGTAAAAAAAATATGCTTTTTATTGGTTACATATTAAAAGAGAAAAATCATTAACGCGTTTATATTTACTGTATAAAAATGTGTCTCAAAACACCCTAAAACTTCACGTTAACGGTATTTGGTACGAGTGCTTAATACATATAAGTATAAGAACAAGTTAAGGAAGTAATAAAAAAGAAAGGGGATAGATTAAAATAAGTATCACAAAATATTTTCTTTTGCCGCATTCATTCATAGTTAATAATTTATAACCTAATAAAAAATGATACCGACATCAAAAAGAAAAATTCAATGCTTTGGCTATAAGCAAATTCATCATTTGACATACATACAACAACATGGCTATGGTCATGATTAAATAACTAAAATTAGTTAACTTTTAATAAGCGTAAAACTTTATATATTTTTTGAGATTATTAGGATTGCTCTACATCTAGAATAAGACTATAACTATAACTTGTTCCTAAAGAATTATTATTTTTCGCTGATTTTATGTGTCATTCACGACTACTACACATACTAAAGCGCGCTATAGAAACTAAAAATGTAATTTTATATTTCAAGTGGTTACATACATTTACTGTAGTTTGGTAGTATGACTATATTATGAATACATTTCTAATTGTTTTTTTTTTTATATCATAAGGTGGCAAACGAGCGAGCGGCCGTGCTGACGTGCGTGACCGCTGCCCATAGACATACGCAATTACATATGCGTTGCCTACCTTTAATCGACGGAGGAGAGGATGCACATTAATAAAATATATTCCCTTTCCATGCATCCTCTCATCCGGAAAGTTCACTTTCACTTCCCATCCTTTCCTTATAAGAAAAAAGGTGGGAAGAGAATGAGGACTAAATGAGGCCTCCGGGACGTACACTCATCAGACGAAACGCGGAATTGCTTCCACTTCACGCTTATCTTCTGTGTGGTCGTGGTATTTCACCGGGCGAGCCGGGCCCATTCGTGCGAAGATGTTAAAGCGGGCTCTACCACTGTTAAGGCCATCCAAAATTAATACCAGATAACTCATAAAACCTCTCATTAAAGGGTCTATAATATTCTCTCAGACGCTCGATTGTCACAGGATCTATGTACGGATGGTTGCGACCTTTCGTCTTACCCAAACAATGTGGTGTCGACTTTCCTTCCGACTTAAGAAGGCAGGGAAACCCTTTTGTAGAGTTGAAATAGAAATGTTTGTCTGTAATCAATCGCTTCAACCCAAGGAACTCCTGTAACAAAGAAATATTTTTGACGTTTTTCATGAAAACATTATTTTCTTACACAACTATAATTGTATCCGATTCTAGATCCTAATATAAGTAGCATACTTCTTTGATACTTTCGGACGAAGGAGACCCCGGCTTTTTTATTTCTTTGTACTTACCTCTGCTAGTAACATAAGTCGCTTAGCTTATTCTACTAAAAAAAAACAAACCTGTACTCTAGCCATCTCAGCTGCGGGATCAGCAACCAATCTCTCTCCACTAATAAGCAGCAGTCTAGAGCGAGGGAACCTTCGCAACCAGCGACGCAGCGGCCTCGCGTATACGCCCAGTCGCACCGGCGGCCACGACGCGTCAACGACGGACCACGTCCCACCCCAACCCACTGTACTATTAACTAGCGCTAAATCCTCGAACCTCGGCAGACTCGGCCTTTTACTGAAATATAAAATAAACATGTGAATTCAACTTATTTAGTACTTGGTTGAAAGAGGCCCCATCAAAATAAGTTTTTCTCCGTAAAATAGGAAAAATCCTCTTGGATGAAGATTTCAAACCACTAACAAAAAATAACAATAGTTTCCTCAAAATCTGTTGCCGATGCCGGGATGGACCGATGAAATTTCGGAATACTCAAAACCAAAAGTGCGTAAAGTCAACTATCAAGTCAACTACTGCTAGATTTTTTTTTTTCGAAACGAGATACTGGCAAATAATAGAAGTATTCTTACCTAGCAGATTGCGTATAATCACTAATAGCTCTGGTGACTGGGTCTCGTACGACAGCTAACAGTCTGACAGCGGGGTTCATAGCATAGACACGTCGCGGCGCGGACCGTGTCACCCAGTACGACGGTGTCTTTTCCATCGTTATCTGACCTTCTATCGTTGCTGGCATTTTCTCTCTAAAAGGACCGTTAATTCTATTTTAAACTACCAAATATTGTGTTATATATAAAATAGATCAAGACACATTTATATGTCTATTTTATTTTGAAATAATTATACGGCGATATATACTCTTAAGTATACGTAAGTGTCTCTGAGTACTATTTTTTATCATATGACAAATCATAGCATAACCTCAGCGCATAAGTGGGCCGTCGCAACTTGGCCGATTTCCTAATGAGAACAATTGACAAAAGTATTAACATCCTGCCTATTTTAATGAGTATTATTCATACTCATAAAACTATTACGTTAGATATATCGTATTTTTTTATATCATAAGGTGGCAAACGAGCGAGCGGCCACCTGAAATCGCTGATATAGCGAAGTGACCGTTGCCCATAGACATACGCAGTTGCATATGCGTTGCCTACCTTTCATCGACGGAGGAGAGGATGCACAGAAAGAAAATATATTCCCTTTCCATGCATCCTCTCATCCGGGAAGTCCACTTCCACCTCCTTTCCTTATAATAAAAAGGTGGGAAGGGAAAGGGTACTGAATTAGGCCTCCGGGACGCACACTCATCAGACGAAACGCGGAATTGCTTCCACCACTGTTAAAATGCTGTATGATATATAGATAAGTAAAAATATGAGATTGTAAAATACCATCACTCGCAAATGGAATATAACGTGGGGGCTAGCACGTACCATCTTTTGACCACATCATCACTTAACATCACGTGAAATCGTGTTCAAGCACTGACTTATGCAATATAAAATAGTAAAGTCTTATATATCTAATATATAAATATAAAAGTTCATACCGATACCATTCGAAACCCTTATGATAGAACTTATCAAAAAAGTGGACCTCTGATCCAGCAGCTCGCACGTCTGGGTGTAACCTAAAAATAAAACAAAAGTTATGGATGTAGAAAAATTAAGCTTATTTAAGTCAAAGGTCAGTAGATTAACAGTAAACCCAACACACAATACCACGTCCCACGGCCTCTATATGATTGTAGTTGATTATCATGCAAAGCGCTGCCACAGCGTGGACGCCGCGTGGTCTAAATTTGATAAAAAAAAGTACCTACCACCTAAATAATCTATGAAACTTTAAGTTACCTTAAAAATTCAAGTAGTGCGCGTGTTCCACATTTCTTAACGCCGATAATCAAGGCATCTGGCAGTCTCTTAGTGGGCACTAAATTTTGATTTTTCAGTCTCCTGTATTTACTTTCAAGGCTATCGTCTGTTTTGTACCCAAGAAGGGAAACAAATCGGATCGTCGCACTTTTATAACTTGATATGTGGTGTGCGTTAAAAAATGTTTTGAAATTGAACTACAAGAGAAAATATATTTTAGAGTAACCGTGAGATCCCGACACCAAAATCTTCGTATTTCTCTGCCTGTGACATAACAGAGATAAGGTAACAGTATGTTTTAAAAGAGGTATTGAATTTCAGAAACCGACAATAAGAAGATATCAAAAACAAAACAATATTCATGAAACAAGTCAATTATTTAAAGAAGCGATAAAATTAACTTACCTTTTTTTCGTCAACTAAGCAAGTATTTAATAGATAAATTAAATACAATAAAAACAGAAATATAAAATATATAAACACATTTCTTTTCGATAAAGCCGGAACACATTTCATTGCTTTTCTTGATAAACATTTGTGCAATGTAATGAGTATATTTATCTAAATATTTTTTCACAATAACTATCATTTAATAAACTTCAACGACCAAAAACAAAACATAACTGCACGCAAAAATATAAGGACAAATAACATATTTTGCGAATGAAAATTCGATCAATGTTTTTGTAAAAATCAACCTTATGATTTGCCGGATCTGCACCGGCTCTACCGCGCAAACGCCAACAATAATTGTGATTAGCGAATACTGCGAATAAAGGTTAAAGGTAAACTAAGACATGAGTAAAGAAAGTAAGAGTAGTAAAGAAGTAAAGTAATGTTTTTTATGTTATAAGATTAACACAATATACATTTTCCAGCAATGAACACCGCCTACTTAAATATTTTGCAACAAATTGCTTGGAAAAACGAAATTTTAAATTAAACGTTAATGATGAAAGACCTGTTTTTAATTTAATTCTAAAGTAAATGCACATAATATTCTACTGAACAAGTGTTTAATTATAAAAAATCGTATTTTTACAATCGTAATTATTTTTATTTTCAAATTAATTTTGTGATTTTTTTATTTAATCTGAGTATCAAAACATGCAGTGCTGCCAACGTAAACAAATTTTAACAAATGACAGGCGAGCGACAACTAAATAAAAAGAAATTTTGTTGTGTTGAACTTTGTAGCTTTGAAATAATTTAAAATGACAGTCCAGCAGATTAACTCGAATATTTCTGACGACTCAGATGATATGGTTAGTTTACCTTCCGAGGAGGATATTTGCAGACGAAAATATCAGTTATTGTTAGAGCGATGTGAGGTACTGCAACAGGATAACGAAAGAATTGTAAATAGGTTCGTGTTTTAGCGCGATGTTATTATTTGTGTGTTACTGAAGTATGATAGGATTGCATTCCTTGCAGGATACATGAAGTTAAAAGAATAACAAAACGATATAAGAAAGATATAAAACTTCTGGTTGAAAGACTGGATAAACATGGTGATCCGTTCAGAATAACAGCTGTGGAGGTTGATGTTAAGCCAGAGGTGACATCGCGGGTCGCTCGTCCTGTAACCAAATCTCAACCGATGCCAAGAAATGCTGAAAAGCAAAACGCTACAGGAGGCAAGAAAACAGGAACAAAAAGAAAAAGTAAAGCAGATAAGGTTAGTTTACACTAGTGTTTCTATATTATAAATTTCTCTCATGATCTCAACAATATAAAAAATATAACCAATACCATTTTATAAAATAATATGTGTACAGTTACAACAATTATGAAATGTCAAGTGTGAATAATGAAAATCCTTTCATTTTAGCCTGAAAGAGATCCAAATGCTCCGAAAAAACCCTGCAATGCTTTCTTCCAATTTTGTCAAGAACAGAGACCTTTAGTTGTAGCTGAAACTGCTACAGAAATGGGATCAGAGCCTTCAAAACAGGAAATAACGAGGCAATTAGCTTCAAGATGGAGAAACCTGACTCATGATGAAAAGAGAGTATGTATCCTTGTTATTCATCTGCTTATTTTTATTGCCACGGTGGAAATGATAATGTTGCTTAGTGGAAAAGTGGTCTTACAAATTATATTTACTGTACATGTTAAGATATAATCTGTATGAAGATAGTATATATTTCGTTCTCTTTTTATGCCAATTTGTTTTTTTTTCAGGTATATGTGGCTATGTTTGAGAGATCGAAAGAGAAATATGTAGAAGAAATGTCAGCCTACATAAAGAAGGAACAATGACATTGGTACCAACATTACTCAGTTATTCTCTTGTGATAGTCAGCTTTAAGTTATATTAAACCATTTAATATTTACTACTTGAATTTTTATTCAGAATTTGAAATTTGTATTAAGAGATGTCATATACTCTGTTCTATACAAGAGTTTGGGCAGGTTTTATAAGTATTTAAAGCAAATTAAAAATGTAGGAAAGAAGAACTCTTAGCCATGTTTAAATAATATTTATTGAAACAAGTACAAGAAATTTAACAAAATAAGATGCAAACATAAAAATACAAAATTTACATCCAATTAATCAACCTTTAAAATTATCCTTTTCAAGACGAATGGCTTTCATAGTTTCTATAGGATTATGTTTATTAGCATGTTCCATAACTGAAGGTACCATCACTCGCATGAAAGGATTGTACAACTTTTCTTCGGCAATTGTTGACGGAACCTGGAAATTTTATTCAAATTACATCAATATCAGGATGTATCCACATTCCATGTTACTATGATGTTCTTTTAGAAATAAGCTGCAATGTTAGTTGCACTGAATATTATAAAATACCTCTGTAAATTACTAGATTACACATAAAAAAGTGCAAAATCTTCGACATTTGAAAAATAAATATCTTATTAGTAGATAATTAGCCTATGTGGTCTTCCAGCCTATGTATTACATCCATGTTAAATTTCATTGAGATCCGTTAAGCCATTTTGGAGATACTTTCTAACACATATCATCCTCATCGTTTTCTTTCTTATTCTAGGATTCAGTATTTATTGGTAAAAGACAAGATCAAATTTATTAACAAAAAGGAATGTTCTTATTTACTTACAGTTGGTTTTCGTTCATCTCTTCGTTGTTTAGACCAACTAATCTTTTCCTTAATTTTTTCATTTTCGGGTTCAACGTGTAACGCAAAGTTCAAGTTTTGCAAAGAATACTCATGGCCACAGAACACCTTAGTTTGATTTGGAAGGTTACTTAACACATCTATTAAGGCATGGTGCATTTGTTCAGCAGTGCCTTCAAAGAATCTGCCACATCCTCCAAGGAATAATGTATCACCTGTCAGAATCAAATCAGAATTAACCAGAATGATACATAAAATAAATAGTATGGACATAAATCAGGTTTCTCAAAACTATACAATGCTTTTATGGTAGCATACAATTTCATAAGAAAGCCTTCAGCAAACATATTTATACTCTCAGCTAGCCACAAGCCACTATATAATTTGAATATTTTTAATATTAATAACTAGCTGTCTGAATAAAAAAAACTTAATAACTATAGTCTGGTCGCGTTAAGAAAATAGTGAGTCATCGTTGTGGACTGGCCACGCCCCGCAGCCAATTAAAATGCAAGAAATTAGAAAGTCGAGTTCACAGTGACCAGTTGAAGTCAGGCCTTCAATCAAAAACCGTTGTGTATTTTGCGTGTTACTCGTTCAACATTAAATTTTGAAAATGAATACCTCACCTATTCCAAGGAACAAAAGTGGATCAATCCATAGCAGAGAGAGAGAGACGCGTAATTTACAATGTTTATACTTATTACAATTTTTACTCCACTGTGAATGCACCTGTAGTTGTACATATGACTCACTATTTTCTTAACGCGAACGGACTATAGCCTTTGTGTTCTTTCAGACTATGTTCTACATCTACACAAAATTTCAATGAGATACATTAAGCCATTCCGGAGATACCTTCAAAGAAACATCTTTCTAAATATTCACAGTTAAAATATTAATAAGATTTAGTTACCTGTGAACACAGCACCATCTTCCCCTTCTTCAGATGGTGTTACAAAATAACAGATATGTCCAGAAGTATGGCACGGTGTAAACAGGCAATGCACATTCAGATTGCCAATATTAAATCTTGAATTGTGCATTACTTTCCTTGTTAAAGCACCAATACGCTCATCTCCACCATATACTTCCAGACCAGGGTGCATTTTGACCAAATTCTCATTGCCACCAGCATGGTCCCTGTAATTTTTGTAATTACTTAACTTCTTAAAAAAACTTTGATACTTTTGAATTTACTCCATAATTATACTTTACCAGTGATGATGTGTGGTAAGAACTTTTGTCAGTTTCACTCCTTGTTCTTCCACAGCTTTTAACACAGTATTTGGTTCTACAGGATCAACTATTGCTGCTTCTTTGGTAGCCTTATCTACTATCAAGTACATATAGTTATCTTGCAAGGCAGGCAAAATCTTTACATCCATTTTATTATATGCGTGATGCTCTTGAAGACTATGTAACCCTTGTTGTTTCCAAGTTAATGCTGTGGGATTCACAATAAAGTTATTATTGCAGATGTCTTGTGTAATTTCTTATCATATTTGTTATCATATTATGGTATTCACAATGACTAGTGCTTTTGTAACTGTACAAATATATTTCCCTATAAGATCTATGTATACAAAATTCTCTACATTAGCGTACGGAAGCGATATTTTTCTAAAATAATAGATGAAATGAGATTTTTTATATCACAAATAATACTTACCTAAGAAGTAAAGTTTAGTAATTCCTTGCGAAAGCCCAAATGGCAGTGAATTAACAGCCCTAGCAAGCATTGATTAATAGCAAATAATAAGGTAGACTAAAGAATTCAGTTCAATATTATTGAAAAATTAATTATCAACACAATTCAATTTTTTTTAATTTTCAACAAAGTTTTATTTGACATTGCCAAGATAAATGACTTTAAAAACAAATCCGCTGAAATAGAGTTGATAGATTGTGCAAATGTGAAAATATTTTTATAAATAAATGCCAAATGCTTTGAGAACGTCTTAAAATTTAAAGCTAATTCTAAGCTTTTAGAGTTCGTAATTAAGGGCAGATAAAGATGTGTAATTTTTTATTATGATTGTACAATTTATTGATAAAATTTTCTGCCGCCGAATGCCTTTACAGCTCAAAGTTTTGTCTTTCCAGATGTCAATATCAGCTGTCATTTGTCAAACGCACGTGTACGGTGTATGGTGAACTGTAAATGTTTGTTGTATTTAATTTGTGGGTTTTAAGTGCTTTCTTAATATCAATTTATATCATTTTCATAATTATATCATAATTATGCGATAGTTGTATTACAAAATATTGTTACCATGAAGTCGAAACCCGTAAAACATAAAACAACTAACACATTTCGGGTATGTATTTTTAGGTTACGATTTTCTTTGTAAATACGACGAAGCCGGAAGTATACCTTTTAAGATTTAATTGAATTTTTCAGTTTATTCCATTTGCGGAACGAATAAATTTAATAGATATCCGCCATGCTGCGTTATATCACATCGAACATGCTTATTCAGGCCATCCAGAGGAAAATGAAACTCACTTCCACTTGGCTTTACAAAAATGGAACGTTCTTAACTTAACGGAAAACTTTAAAAAGTTTAAAAAAGAAATCCATGGCGTTGTTACCATAGAACAGTTAATACATAAGAAAGAAGAAGTATTAAATGCTGTTGAGAAATATTTGAATTTAGAAGACCAATTGTGCTTGCAGCCATTACTAGAGTAAGTACCATTAATTTTTTGAACGAAATTATAAGGCAACTAGTTGCCATTCATATTGAGAAATTTTTGGGTCAATATTTTTAAAATTTATATAACCTATTGGTGTAGCATTTTAGTTTACTGTTTGCTTATAATATAACATTCCCAAGACAAATTTTTTTCAATAATTGTCGATTTTATTGCCAAGTTTATTAGATAAATTATAATCTATAGTAAAAAAAACTCTAAATTTAATAATCACGACAATTTATTTTAATTATTCATATTAACAAAATACTTTTTTTTCAGGATTTTAGTTTCTTTAGCAAAAGATTTAAGACATGACTTCTATCCACATTTTCCAAAGTTTCTTGATATTCTTATAAAATTGTTAAACACAAAAGATCCTGAAAGACTAGAGTGGACATTAATATGTTTGGCATTTTTATTTAAAATATTAAAACCATATTTGAAGAAAGATCTAGAAAGTGTACTTAAAAGGATTGTACCATTATTGAGTGAGAATCAACCTCAATATATTAATAATTTTGCTGCAGAAAGTTTTGCATTTGTCGCAAGAGATATAAGAGACAAGAATAAATTTCTACAGCATACTTTAAATTACCTGGTTACAAATGATCATGTAAGTTTTAAATTTTAGTCTTACTAATGTAAAAGTATAGATGGATGGATGGATATATGTTTGAAGGTATCTCCAGAATGGCTTAATGGATATAGCTGAAATTTGGCATAGATGTAAAACATAGTCTGGAAAAACACAGAGGTTACTACTTTAGTTTTTTTTTGTGTGCGGACAAAGTTGCCGGCTACAGCTAGTAATATAAAAAATTAAATAGTTCTATATGTTTGATCTGAACATTTTGAGCCTAACTTATTACTTTTACATTAAAAATGCTCTCCTCAAATATATGGTTTGAGTTACCACCATATCAACAGAAGCCATCAAAATAATTTTGACACTGCAATACATTTCTTGTTTCCAGGCAATTACGGGTACAGGACATTTGATATTTGAAATTTGCAAAGGTGTTGCTAATAAATTTCATAGCTGTGCTGAAGCATTTTTTCCACTTCTCCTACAGTATTTAAAAGATAACATTGAACATCAAGAAATATTGTTTAAAGTGCTAACTCAAACAATCGAAGATGCTCTCCATGGCATTTCATGTAAAGAATTTTCAATATTCTGGACTCCTGTTATGAAATTTATAGAAGATAATTTCAAAGAAGATAATAATATTAACAGATGTTTGGAGTTTGTGTTAAAATTAGCAGGACAAGTGATAGAACATCAAAAAGGAAAATTCCTTATTAATCCTCAACAATTTGCAATAGTACTTGTTAAAGTTATTTGTGAAGAAAAAACGGAAAGAGTTTTAGAAGTTTGCGCTCAGATTGGTGCATTATTACTACTGTCTTCGAATATACTTTTATCACAAGAACATGCCGGAATAATTATAAAATCACTAGTGCCCTTACCGTTCCCGAAGATTCTTATTAATTTCGTCGAAAACGTTGTCGATTATTCACAATTTGATTTACACATACTTCCACCGTTCTTAAACTTTGTTGTCCAATCAAATTTTAATAATGAATCTATGTGTACTTTATCAAAAATATGCTTAACAAAATCACCATTATCTAAAAATGGTATGAAATTATTCGAATGGGTTAAATATCCGATAAACTTTGGAAAAGGACTGCCGTTATTTATGGAATATGCACAAAACGTTCTTGAAAGTGACGTTGAAAGTCATATTGAAAATCCTGATAAATTAATGAGTGTTTTATTTTGTTTACCTCATATTGAAAAATTGAATGTTGAAATATGCATTAAGAAGATAAGTGAAGTCATTTACTGTCTCCTAGATATACTGGATGATAAAAATCTGGAAGCAAATAAAGAGAAAAATAAAATACAATTTGATAATAGTGGTACCGCGAAACAATCAAGAAAAGTTTTATTTATATTAGCAAATGCTATCGAATGTGTTATACATATATCCAGTTGTAAAATGACGAAGAACATTTGTGATATTGATAAATTTTTGCCAGTGATTGTACCATTCGCAGCGGATCCTAATTATTTAACAGCATTGCAACTTCTTGATTTACATCTAACAGCATATGAACAAGAAAATGGATTAACATATGCATTTTTATCATTAATCGATTCATATCTTAGACCCAATGTATCATCTCCATTTCACATTGTAAGTAAATTTTACGTTTTTAAATTTTACTAATATTATAAATGTGAATGTTTAGATGGATGGATGTTTGTTGGAAGATATCTCATAAACGGTTGCATGGATCTTGTGTAAAACATGGCATAGATATGGAATAACGTCTGAAAGAAAACATAGGCTACTAATTAAGTTTTTTTTTTAATTCCGCGCGGACAGAGTCGCGAGTGATAGCTAGTAATATTATAAATTAGACTGTTTAGTTAGATGGATGTTTGTTAGAAGGTTCAATGGATATCAGTGTATGGTAATGGATGACAGTGGTAGAGCCCGCTTTAACATCTTGGCACGAATTGGCCCGGCTCGAAATACCACGACCACACAGAAGACAGGCGTGAAGTGGAAGCAATTCCGCGTTTCGTCTGATGAGTGTGCGTCCCGGAGGCCTAATTTAGTCCTCTTTCCCTTCCCATCCTTTTTCTTGTGAGGAAGGGTTAGGAAGTGGAAGTGGACTTTCCGGATGAGAGGATGCATGGAAAGAGAAAATATTTTCTTTCTGTGCATCCTCTCCTCCGTCGATTAAAGGTAGGCAACGCATATGCAATTGCGTATGTCTATGGGCAACGGTCACTTCGCTATTTCAGCGATTTCAGGTGGCCGCTCGCCCGTTTGCTACCTTATGATATAAAAAAAACAATGAAATTTAACATTAATACTTAACATCTGGAAGAACACATAGGTGATTTATAAAGTTCTTTTCCAATGCATCGTAGACGAAATCGCGTGCGACAGCTAGTTATTAATTAAATACTTATGAATCTATGATGAATTTTTTTTTTTTTGCAGGTTCGTTTATTAACAACACATATTTATAAATTGTTCGAAAATGTTGAAGAATTAAATAAATCAGTACAAATAGGTGATAAAGTAGAAAAATTCTCTATATTTAGTAAATGTTTTGAAGTTGAATCAATATCACCATCTATACAAGAATATAGAACACAAATAAATATATTACAGAAAATGTCATTTAATACAACACAATATGTGATTGCAAAGGATACTGAATACCATCATTTTGTATTAAAATATATGCTCGGAGTTTTGTATAATAATTTCAAATTACTTTGGGAGCCGGTTATTGAATTTATCGCGAGTTTCGGGAATGCATTAACAGTTGAAGAGTTTTGGCCTATATTCTATGAAACTCTTGAATTTTCTTTCGCAAACGCTAAAATTAATTTATCTATTTTTCAATTTGATGATGAAATTAATACGACATTTGAACCTTTAAAAGATTTATACATATCTTATAATAATATACATGAAAATCCTGATTTATATAATTATAGGAGTTTGATTTTAAAAACGATGACATTTTGTATACAAGCGTGTGAAGCTAGAAATAGAGATGTCGTTGGTATTTTCTTAAGATTCATTGAAGATGGTTATAAAAAGAATAACAATACAAATGCACTTAAAGTTGATATAGAAATTCATGACAAATCTCCAATGGAAATTGATGAAAACGAAGAAACAGACGATATAGAAATGAATTTAGAAAAATTAGACGATGATAAAACAAAAAATTCAGAATCTGGCAAAATTATATTCAAAACATTAATTAATATAATGCAAGTGTTAGCACAATTTAAAAATCCTCGAGCATTGTACAAAGAATCAGTATTTTGGGAGCTTTATATGGAATTCTTAAAACATAAAAATCCTGGTCTCCAAAAATTTGCATTGGATTGCGTTTTAAATTATAAAAACAAAAATATTCTACCATACAAACAAAATTTATACAATCTTGTTGATGATAAAAAGTTTAAAGATGAATTAACGCTTTTTAAAATTACAGAAGATTCTAAAAACATTCAACCTGAAGACAGAGAACATGTTTTACCAATTGTATTAAGAATTCTGTACGGTAAAATGACGTCCAAATTAGGTGCGGACAAAAAAGGTGGAGGTCAAACAAAAAGATCTTTAGTTATGAGATATTTAAGTGGATGCAAAGAGAATGAATTGAAAATGTTTATAGAAATGGCATTTTCATATTTTAAACAATATTTTCCGATGAGTCCTAAAGATATTTATGTTACTGTTTTGATGAATTTAGATCTAAAATCTGTTACTTATCCTGGTAAACTCCACAGTGTACTTAATTTGTTTGACGTAGTGCGTGAATACTTTGGAGGATCAATGGATGATGCATTACTTGGTCAACTTTTTAAAGTGTACATCGCAGTTTGTTCTCAAATTGCGAGTGTCTTGAACCATGTTGACAAAGTACATATTGGTTATATAAAAGTTATGAAAAACCTCAGAGCTATAGCTCTTGGTATTCTCGGGAAATTGTTCGATCAATTCGATAAATATCCTTGGAATAAAGAAGAATTATATGTATTATACGAAACACTTATTTGGCCATTGACCCCAAAACTTCATATTGAAGGCATTCATAGCCCTACATCTTTGTTAAAATTATTTAACACGTGGTGTCAGAATCCAAGATATTATATTCTTCTTGTTACGTGTTCTGATGCTACTAATTTAAGTGTTTTGCCGGCCATATTTAAATTGCTGTTAGCACCTAAAACTAATCCAGCTGTAGTTAATTTAATTTTGGATATGATAGAAAAATTATTAACATTAACAGAAGAGGAAGATGAAAATGAAATAACGCCTATTGAAACGTTTAAATCATTAGATGTTTGTAGTAACTTTGCAAGTGAAGTGAATTTTGGAAGTAAAATTTTGGTGCCACATTTACCAAGTATTTTAGAAGTCATGAAAAGACGTGTTGCGAATAGTGCCAAATCGAATACAGTAAACAAAAGAGATCTTTTAATCCTATCAAGAGTAACAGAAATGGTGACAACACCAGAAATGTGTAATGATTTATTAAGCCTTTTACTACCGATTTTGGTTAAAAAAGTTTGTATGAATATGGCTGAAGAAAATATGGAATACGCTGTGAGCATAATTATAAATCTTTTAGGGCATAGTGCGAATCCCCAAAGATATATTAAAAATATAGCTGTCTTATTTAACAAAGTTAGTCCTGTTGAAGTTAGGAAACTTTTGCTAAAGTTACTCGTTTCTATAGCGGAAAATGTAAATGAAAATAAAGAAGTATTTATTAAAATGGCTAACGTAATAACAGAAATGAATGCGTTTAACAAAAGATGGATAGAACAGCCAGATTTTGATAGAAGATTAGATGCTTACAAGGAAATATACAGAATGGCAGACAACAATGAAATTAATGTGGACCTTGCCATACTTATTATAAATAATTGTTTCTATTTTATACGCACAGAGAAAGATATTGGACTTCGTGATAGTGCAGGATTATGTTTAAAGAAAATACTTCCTAAATTGCTACTTAAATATAGATCAGCTGCCGATGGTCAATTTTTAGTACGAGACACTGTTTTAGCGCTCATTTCTACTGGAATAAGAGATAATAAAAATGAGAATTTACGTACAGAATCAATTTCATTGTTAGGAGAATTAGCAAGAGAATGTCCAGAAGCAGATGTAGTTTTATCTGATTTAAGCTATTTGATAAATAAAGAAGATTTGGAAGTTGATTTCTTTGAAAATATCTGTCATTTGCAATTACATAGACGTGTTAGAGCTTTACTAAGATTTAGTAAAATAGCTAAAAAAATGATCAAATGTCCCACACCAAGAACATTAACAAACTTCATTTTACCTTTAGCGTCTGTATACATATGCGATGATAAATATTCAGACAAAAATTCTTTAATCGATGCATGCATCGATGTAATTTCAACTTGCTGTAGATTATTACCATGGTATCATTATGAGGTTATTCTCAAATTATATTTGAATAAAATGAGACATTCTACAGAACATCAGAAACAATTGACACGTATTTTGGTTGGAATAATCGATGCTTTTCATTTCGATTTTTCTAAAATCAAAAATATCGAATTACCTAAAACATGGCTTACAAATATGACTAAAAAAATAAAAGACAATGGAGAAAAAGTTGAAACACTTACGACTAATGATAATGCAGATGAAGATAATGAAACAAGTGAAGAAGCAAATGACATTGAAACAGATTTGCAATTGGCTGATAAAAATGAAGAACCGGAAGAAGAAATAACCAAAGAAATATCTAATGTACCAGCATTTGAAAGAATAACGGTTGTATCACCTTCAGTTGGGAATAGAATTATTAAATCTTTAACTGCAGGATTGTTACCACAGTTAAATCGGTAAGCAACTAAATTATTTTTGTTAAACGATCCCAAAAAACCATGATAACTAGTTGCTTGAATTTAATTCAATAAAATAAGTGTAAATCAACGAGAATATCTGATTCGGTGATCATAAGTCTAACTAAATTATGACAGGTCACTAGAGCCCTGTCAATGTCAAAAAAGTGTCATAAAGTATTTTTCGTTCTTTAACTGTCTTGTAATTTTTTTTTCCAAAATTTTCTATGCTCGTGTAGATTTGACATGCCAGATATTTTTGTTTGACTATGCCATTATAATTGCTATATATAATAGAGTACATATATTTCTTCCTATTCAGTGTATATTCCTTCTAAAAAATATTTTTTTCTCAGTGCAATAGGTAAAATGACAGAACATGAAGAGTCACATAAGTTGAACCGGCGAAAGATGGGATTCTCTCGTCAGGAAGAGGACATGGTGAGGGTGCCAATAGCTTTGGCTCTGGTGAAACTACTGCAAAGACTACCGGGAGATGTTTTAAAGCATCAGTTGCCAGGGTAAGACTCATTTTAAAACTTATATACTTAGAGTTTTCTAATTGTTACTTAAAAAGGCATTTATTGAAGGTTTCTTTTACTTAATATATGCTAAGATATTCTCATAGACCTTTTTACAACTCTGAGTTTTGCAGTTAATGTGTTTTTATTTTACATTGCGAAAACTCCCAAATTTATAAAGTGAACATATCTGATGGGATGTTGACTAATGTTGAGATATAACGATTGTGATATTATTTAGAAAAAAAATAGATAAATGTAGTAACATCGAAAAAATACATTTTTTCTATTATAACGTGGCAAAAAGCGGCCGTCTGAAATCGTTGAAATAGCGAAGCGACCGCTGCCCATAGATATCCGCAAGTGCAGATGCGTTTTACCTTTATAAAAAATATTTTCCCTTCCCATGCATCCCTTAATCCGGAAAATCCACATCCACTTTCCATTCTTTACTTATAAGAAAAAGGGTGGGAAGGGAAAGAGGTATAAAATTACATTCGAACCGAATAAGCGAGAATATAAGGAACCGCGATAATTTTCTCGCTTATAAAGGTTTTTTTCTAACCCTAGTTTCTCGATCATGGAGGTCGTCTGTCGGGTCCAGACTTATAGAGGATTTACGATTATCCAATTCTCGCTTCTCCAGGTTCGATTGTATTTATAATCTATTTTTTTCTTTTCAGAATTATCACAAAATTATGTTCATTTTTAAAATCTCCATTAAAGCAAGTTAGAATAGTAGCCAGAGATATTGTTAAAAAGATTATGTTAACCGTTGGTACTTCATACATTGGTGTATTCCTTGAACACCTCACTTTATTACTTACAAGAGGTTTTCAAGTTCACGTATTAGTTGCAACAATACATTCAATATTAGATGCATTAAAAACTGAATTCAAAGCCGGTGATTTAGATGATAATTTAGATTATATACTAAACGTATGTACAAATGATTTATTCGGTTCATTATCAGAAGAGAAAGAAGTTGATAAATTACATTATAAAACACCAGAAGCGAAACCTAGCAAGAAAAGTTATGTCACGTTAATGATTGTATCACAGAATATAACACAGAGATGTTTAATTAATCTATTAATGCCATTTAAAGATGTATTACAAAAGCATCAATCGAAGAAAATCGTTTTAAAAGTACAAGAAGCATTAATGCACGTATCTACAGGTTTGGTTACAAATAAATTTATTGATATCGAATCGTTATTCATATTTTTACATGGTATAGCTTCGGAGAATATTCCCGAATTCGTTTTAGGAGTTCCTAAAAGAAAAATAACTGATAAACAAAAAGAAAAGATGTTAGAAGTGAAACCTGATTGTTTTATTATACCCGAAATACCGAAAAGAAATAAAGAATCTCAAGCGAGACTTGTTAAGACATCTAGTAAGGCAAATGCTCACGTTTTAGTTGAATTTAGTTTGAATATACTTTATATTATATTGAAAAGAGAAAAAGTATCGAGAATGGAATGTCGTACGTTTGTAGATGCATTAATACCTTTATTAGTAGATTCATTGAAAAGTGAACATATAAAAGTGTGTACTGTTGCAATGAAATGTATCACGACTTTATGGACAATTAGGGTAAGCACAACAACATTAGAAGAAATGATACAAGATATTGTGAAGACGATATTTTTGATATTACATAAATATGCGACGTTTGAAATAAGCAAACAGAATGATAACTATCATTTAGTGAGGAATGCTTTTAAGGTATTTAAATTTGCATTTTTTAACACATTTTTTTTAGACATTATTAGTTTTTTATATCATAAGGTGGCAACGTGCGAGCGGCCACCTGAAATCGCTGAAATAGTGAAGTGACCGTTTCCCATAGACATACGCAATTGCATTTGCGTTGCTTACCTTTAATCGACGGAGGAGAGGATGCACAGAAAGAAAATATTTTCCCTTCCCATGCATCCTCTCATCCGGAAAGTCCACTTCCACTTCCCATCCTTCTCTTATAAGAAAAAAGGGTGGGAAGGGAAAGAGGACTAAATTAGGCCTCCGGGACGCACACTCATCAGACTGCACGCGGAATAGCTTCCACTTGACACCTGTGTTCTGTGTGGTCGTGGTATTTCACCGGGCGAGGCGGGACAATTCGTGCGAAGATGTTAAAGCGGGCTCTACCACTGTTAGAATCCTTTGGCGCGGATGACGCGCTTTCGTTACAAAGTCAAGTGTCAGATTAGTGAGGGGAAATAAATGTTGACATTTTAATAAGGCTAGTGTTGCGCCAGTACACCGCCACAATTTTCTTCCTAACAGTTTATGTCATTTTTAATATCTTAACGCTTTCAGTGCCGCTAACGACGTTGTCGACTCGCTTTGCGAGTTTACTTTTGTACCAATAATTTGTAGTAACGCAAAACCACAGTTTTTTGTAAAATAATAAATTCTTTTCAGGCGGTTACAATGTTAATACGTAATGTAAAATATTATAAATTAGAAGCTGATCAATTGAAAACTTTATTACTTTACGCGGAAGAAGATTGCCAGAGTGACGAGAAACAGGCGAATTCGTTTGCTTTATTAAAAGCTATTTTAGAAGGAAGACTTGTATCACCAGAGTTGCACGAAGTTATGGAGAAAGTATCCAAGATTTGTATATTAAGTGAATCAGCAAGATCAAGGTTCGTTTTAACAATAAAATCTTTAATCGTTGGTTTCTGAGGCCAAAATCAATGTATAAAACATATCGTCATCAGAACCAGAGATTATATGTTTTAAATGGGAATTTGGGCTCGGAAACCCATGTTTAGTCATTGAATTCACTTTAGAGATTCAATTAAGTTTTCTGAACGGTATTGATCTAGCCAGGGAAAATTGAACCTTATTACCATGGCATAAATATAAAATTTGATATGTAATTTGAAGTAATATAATATGAACAGTCACCTTTTATGTCCTTTTTTTAAAAAAAATGATAGACGGTTACTTATTTGTAACACTAGCTGTCGCCGGCGACTTCTTCCACGCGGGAGAATCCTATGCGTTCTTCCAGGCTATGTTCTTCATCTATGCCAAATTTCAGCGATATCATTTCCCGTTTCGGAGATAGATACATCCATCCATCCATCTAAACATTTTTAATATCAGTAACATTAATATTTCTTTTTATTTTTAATTTTCTTATATAGTTATATAAAAAGTTATGCAGTATTTTATTTTTTGTTTCAGAGACGAAGCCCGTGGACTATTCGTAAATTACCTAACACATTATACGCCGGGCAAACGTATGGACAAATACATAGAATTCTTCGTGACTCAATTGAACTACGAGCTGCAGCACGGCAGAGAGTCTTCGCTCAAGTTTATTGCTATGATAATAAATAAACTTAATCCGGTAAGTTTATATATTTTACCAACTTGTCTGAAGAATTTCAAACGAAGAAAAATGTCCAAAAATATATATTTGTGTATAATAACCTTTGAATATATTAATACTGAAGATTCAATAATTGTATACGACCTCCATGACAGCGTACAACCAACTCTGCTACCAAGAAGGTTCGATAACTTCAAATACGCGTTACACAGTGGCATTGATGAACTAGACACACAAAAGGATAATGATTTTCGTAGCTATGTTACTTTTCATTGTGACCTTGAGGTTTAAATTGACCGAATAACTGTAGGTTTCTGACACCAAAATCTTTGTTTAAAATATATCGTTATCCCTGTCTTTGTATAATATATATTTCCTGTTTCTTAATAATGTTATGTTTTTATGTGTTATTTCTTTATAATTATTTATTATATTGAAAGGATTAAATGTTATTTTATTTATTTAATTTCCGACAAAACAGATAACAAGATGTTTTAATCGGAGGCTCAGAAACCCACGGTAATTTTTATATTAATTGATTTCTTTAAGATTGGTAATTAATATTGCTTGTTTCAGGCACAATTAACAAAGTTCAGTGAATATATATTCCTAGCACTGGGCGCGTGTATGGTGAACGATCCAGCGCCGGAATGCCGCGCCTCGGCCGCTGACTGCATTGAAGCTATGCTCAACAAACTCCCTTCAACTCAGAAGAATAAATTATTTGATCTGGTGCTGGCTTTCTTTCAGGATAACCAGGTACAGGATTGCATTTTGAGTTTATGGTGGAATTATAACATTTTATATACAACTAGCTGTCACCCGCGACTCCGTCCGCGCGGGATTAAAAAATAATAATAAGTAGACTATTTGTTCTTCCAGACTGTGTTCTATATGTATGCCAAATTTCATCAAGATTCGTTAAGTCGTTCTGGAGATACGTTCAAACATCCATCCATCCAAATATTCGCATTTATAATATTAGTAATTAGAAGTAAGACGGCCAACCTCCATAAAATGGAGAGGCACCTTGAGAGAGAGAGAGAGAGAATATGATCATATAATCCCATATCTATTAATAGCTGTCGCCCGCGACTCCGTCCGCGGGATAAAAATTGATGTTGCCTGATTCTCAGACCTACTCAATATGCTCACAAAATTTCATGCGAATCGGTCAAGCCGTTTCGGAGGAGTATGGGAACGAAAATTGTGCTAGAGAATTTTATATATAAAATTTATAATATTTTTAGCCAAATTCATAGTAATATTTAATATTTTTGTTTTGCAGCCAGTACATTTTGAATTAGCATCTCAATTAGCAACAAGATTTGTTAACGTTGAACAAGAACAATTTAAAACCCGTCTTAATTCGATACTACCGCTGGTTAGCGGCAAAATAATGCTATTAAGTAACGAAAATACTGAAGGACAATTCGTCAAGATAAAACTAGATCAAGGCGATAAATCAGATGAAGAGAAACAAAAAGAAAGAGATCACAGTTTAATACAAATGTTGAACTTTATAGAAAAAATAACCATCCATTGCGCGTCTAGTTTGAAGGATGATAATTTCTTTAGTGAATTTGATGAGATCGCGGAGCAATGTAAAGTGTTATTGGCGTATCCTCACGCGTGGGTTCGTATGAGATGTGCCAGAATACTGGGAAAGATACTTTTGTCTGTTGATGTTGGGCATTTGGATATGATTGTGAAAAAGAAGTTGGAAAGTGATAGAGGATTTATTTATTACGAAACTGAGGCCTGCTTGAGGAGTTTGATATTAGATTTGTGCGCACAATACACGCCTAATGTCAGTAAAGATATGGCGGACGTGGTAAGTGATAATAATATTTATTTATACAGAACCCAATTAACAAATTTTTATACTCTATTAAAAATCTTTTACTTTTAAGTAGCTACACTATCACCGGGTCTTATAGGGTATAAATATAATTAAGCTTTTTTTTTAATTACTCACGTAAGAAGTCACGAGAGAGTCGTGAATTACTAAAAATCCTATATTTTATATACAAGAACTAACCCACGATTTTTAGGGTTCCGTACCTCATAGCAAAAAACCCTTATAGGATCACTTTGTTGTCCGTCCGTCTGTCTGTAAAGACCTATTTTCTCGAAAACGCGTGAAGGTATCAAGCTGGAATTTATTTCTATATTGGATATGTTTAATTATAAATTCTCTTTCAGGTAACCGATGTTATGTTTTTAATATTAAAACTGATTCATACGATGTCATCATTTCAATTATCAAACAAAGTAGACTCTGACGAGACGGAGTCAGACAGCGCAAAAGTTAACATCCGATGGATATTATTCAAGTTACGAAGAGCTATTAACGCTGAAGTGGCTAGAGCGGCCACTTCTATGAATATTGTAAGTATTTACTATAGAATTGCCAATTGCCCAATGAAAATTGTTAGTAAAACGGACATCTTAATAACGGATAAATATACATATGTAAATCGAAAAACACTTTAGTACATGACGGGATTCGAACCCAGGACCTGCAGATAACAAGTCAAGTGCTTAAACCCCTGAGGCACCGACGCTCTACCATCTAATATCAATTTAGGCATGAAATTAAATAAATACAATGATTTATTTCCAGAGATCAGCAATCTTCACAATGTGGTTACATGTGATAAGTTTCTTAGAGGCTGACGACGTTAATAAAGTGATTGACGTGATACTGCCGCCGATTGTTCGAGAACTTTCTACGGGTGACGCGGCGACACCGGCGACTGTTGCTAAGCAACTGGCGGGGAGACTCGGCAAGAAGTTGAGGAGGAAGATCGGCGATATTGAATATAGTAAATTGGTAGCGGAGGCACAAACCAGACTGAACATAAGACGAGCTGAAAGGAAAAAGGTAAACTTTCATACTAATAATAATTTATGTATATAAAAATCAATCGCTGTTCGTTAGTCTCGCTAAAACTCGAGAACGGCTGAATGGATTTATCTTATCTTGGCCTTGAAATGTTCTGTTCTGGGGAAGGTTAAACAGGTAAAAACAAAATCGAATAATTTCCTGAAACTAATTAAGATTTTTTTCATTCCACGCGGACGGAGTTGCGGACAATAGCTAGTGTTTACTATAGGAAAAAAATATTTTATTATCCTAGATTAATCCGAAAATAGGGAACCGATTTTTTATTCATATTTTTTTTGCTAGCCAGTAATAAAAATTGCGCTTTATTTTTTTACTGATTTACGATGTTTTTTGTCTATGCTAAATTATAAGTTGCCAGTATAAAATAATTAATTACGAACAAGTGTAAATATTTCACTTAACAGCGATAAATATACGATAAAATACAGATATATTAAGACATTACTAAAAATATAATTTTAACAGGTTATTCTACAAGAAAAAGTACACAATCCAGAAAAGGCGGCAAAGAGAAAGTTACAGTTGAAGGAAAAGAAAAAACAAGCTAAAAAAATAAAACTGGACACGATACATGGGAAGAGACCGAAAGCTAGAAAGAGAAAGATGGAAGACATAGACATAGAAGAAAAATTACTACAGGATGATTAAAATTTTAGAATATTCTATTATTTTTTTATTACATGTAAATATTAGATTTAAGTTACATACTGTATAACATAAATTAAATTGATTATTAAATATTTAAGTGTGTTTCTTTTAATTTCCTACGTAGTAATAGTAGTGCATGCATAACCTATACTATTTGCTAGCTGTGGCCCGCGAGTCCGTCCGCTCGGAAACAAAAATAACTTAATAAGTTGCCTATATTCTTCCAAACTATGTTTTTCATATGTATCAAATATCATCAAGATCAGTTGAGCTATTCCGTAGATACCTTCAAAAAAACATCCATCTAAACCAGTGGTTCCCAAACTTAATTTTGTCTACTGCCTACTTTGAGAATAAATATTTTTAGCGCCCCCATATTTTCACATAATTAAAAACAATTATAACTTCAAATTAAATTAATTAATTATTGTGACCTATATATGTATATTAACGGAGAATTATAAACAAAACTTTTACTATAATTCGGAACTTGAAACCTGCAGCGCCTACAAGGTGGGGCGTTATCGCCCAATTTGGGAAAGACTGATCTAAACTTTCGCATTTATAATATTAGTATAATAACATGTTTTGATTTTTGAAATCCATGGAGGCACATAGTAATAATAGCCTAGGTAAAGTCTAATGTTATAATCTGGTATGAAATCACTTTATTTCTATAATATACATATAAAATGAATAAAATTGAACGAGTCATTCGAATTAGTCCTACACGTAAAAGCACTTAGGATCGACAACTAGGTCGGCTTCTTTCAATCTATTTCATTTATAATAAACTTCGTTGATTCGCGAAGCGTTCTATGGCATTTAAATAAGAAAATTGTTTTATTTTAGGTTTAAATGTAGACTTTCCAGGCTTAAACTTTTTGTGCATTTCTAAATTATTTTTAATAATTTGATTTCAGCATTTTTTTAATAATTTGCTCTCTTGTAAATTTGCTATTATATTCCAAAAGTAGAAAAAATCAAAATTGAAAAACTTGGTAGTTGATTTTTCTCTCGGTTTATAGAGAAGTTTCTCTTATTTAATCTTTTTGTGTGTACTAAAAGTATGTAATTATAGTAAAATAAAAATTTCCAAAAGTACATTTTCCCTACTTCTCTTGTAGGATTTTTTTTAGGTTATTTAAAAATGTTATTAGTTAATTCAACTTTGATTAAGTGTCTACATTATATTTTGCTTATGCGAAACTTGCGTGCAAAGTGAAATATGTCAAGGTGAACAGCGTAAAATATTGCTGTATGGAAATTACTATGCAAATAATTATTTTTTCTTTCCTTCGTACGACATCATTACGATGAAAGCAAAACTTTATACCAAACATTTCTTAAGGCTTGTACGCACCAGGTTAGTATTTTTATCGAGTTAGGAACAAGTGACTAAACGTGTCTGATTGGCTCGGCTAAAGAATATATTATTCTACTCGACTAAATCGTTCTTTACATACATTTACTAGTAAATTGCTCGTTACTAGACTAAAATACTGACCTGGTACGACCAAGCTTTTACTCGTTAATACGGCAAATACAGAATGATCTAAATAGAAGTCTTAAAATTAATCTTACAGCATTCCAGTTGCAAAGGACCGTTTGACTGGATGATCACTTATAATTGTTTTTAATTAATTTCAATTTGTAAAGAATTTAAATGTGTCAGAATATTTAATTAAGGCGTACTTGGGCGCGAGTCAACGTTTTCATACTTGTTTTGTCGTTGTAAATTAATTGGATAGCCTTTCATAGTGTGAGAAGTGTCAGGTGTATAGAAAGCCTTTTGTCGATGATATCTATTCAAAGAAACGTGTATCGGTGTACTTTAAGGTCAAGGTCGCAATTTGCTTCGGTCGTGGAATAATTTTGTATAATGCGGTCTACCTTTAATCGGGTTACTGTTAAAATGTTGCAGCTTTATAATAACACAGCTGTCGCCTGCGGTTCCATCCGCTCGGCAATAAATAAAAACTGAATGCCAGGTTTCAGATCCGTTGAGTTGTTCCGGAGATACTTTCTCACTTTTAGACATTATTATAATAATAACAATCCTTTAGCGCGAATGACGTGCTTTCGTAACAAAGTCTAGTGTTAGAATGAATGTGAGGGGACACAAACCTCGACATCTTAGTAAGACTAGTGTTGAGTCAATACACTGGCTCATTTCCGGATTTTCTTCCAAACATTACAAACATCCACCCATTCATCCATCTAAACATTTATAATATTAGTAAGAAACAAGATTTACAGCCAGAGACTTGTGTCTAGTATGGACCTTAAAAACTTTTTCAGGAAAAAAGCAAAGGCAAAAATGTTTTAACAAACTTTTATTTTAAAACAATGTAATAAAATGCAGTAGTTTCTTAGTAAACTGTAACCTTAGCCTTCACCTGGACTGTTGGTCTACATTTCTTCGCCACAACATCGCAAGTAATAAACTTTAACGTGCTAGTGAATTGCATACGCGTTTTATTGGAAACATAAACATTTTATTGAAAAGAAAAATAACCAGGTCAGATCACATTAACACTTTCTGGATAAAGAGATAGACAGATGTTAGTTGTTATCAAAGCAAAAGTTTAGGGGATACCTTCAAACAAACATCCATCCATCTAAACTTTCACATTTATAATATTAGTAAGATTTAAAAAAATCACAATTAAACCATTTTATTACTGGAGAGGTATTGAGTTTCCTTTTTCTATTATAAATACAAAAGTTTTGCTATTCGCACGTATTTTATCAACAATTTATTTGAGGGTGAATTCATTAAGCTCGTAACATCTCAATTTCTCTAATAATTCTATCTATCGCCTGTTGGGGACGTCAACACAAATTGACTACGTCGGAAGCACATCCGGCAGTGTGATGGGTCGAGAAAATTTATATTGTTATAGTAGGATTCCACTGTCGAAATAGTAGTTTTACAAAGACATACAGTTTTGGAATTTTCATAGATATTAAGATGATGGATGACAATTTTTTGTACAAGTATGTTTTTCAGTAGTATCTTTGGATTGAAGTTACGGATCGATAGATACGTTCTGTCAGAAACGAAATCTTACTAATAATATAAACGCGAATGTTTAGATGGATGGATGTTTGTTTGAAGGTATCTTCAAAACGGCTGAACGGATTTCGATAAAATTTGTCACACGTATAGAAAAGAATCTGGAGGACCTCATAGGCTACCAATATTTTTTTTATATCACGCGGACGAGGTCGCGGTTGATGGCTAGTTTATAATAAGCATTAGTAGAATTAGTTTATATTACTAGTTATAGTTCCCGCTGGACCTATGGCAACTATAACACTGGCAGAAGACGGCGCAGGACATGCGACTTTGGCGTTCTCTTGTGTCGAAGGCCAACACCCACTCAGGAGCCAGCGGAGTAATAGTGATAGAATTAGTTTCTTTAACATTGTTTTAATATTACTAATATTCGCATAAACACTGCATTTACGTGTTAACCCAATTAATTAGCGGCTAACCAATTTCCGTTCGCGCCAATTACATGTGAGCTATAATGGATGCAGACACGCCTTGAATACATAAGGGGCAAGCGACGTCGGGGCGCGCATTTTATAATTGCCGAGTTAGTTGTGAAATAAACAAGCAAGGGGTTAAGCGTGGTATTTCAGAATTTCATACCAATTAGAGAAGCTGGAATTGAGTTTTTTTAATACAGTCTTTGCCTATAAACAATATTATTGTAAATTGATGTACGATGATGAATAATTTGAAAAATTAGGTATATATAAGTAAACTATTATATACTTGTAAAACAATTAGATACATCAAATTGGTCTTACATATTAAATGCTGCACCCAGAATTGTTAATTGGACGCTAAGGTACTAAAATACTGTTTAATTAAAAAGCAACTCTACCGTTGTAAATCTCTATATTATGTTTAGTTTCGTATAATCCAGTTACACATAAATACGAAAGTTATAAAATATTTCTGTCTACAAAGCTTACGTCCTAAATTCCCTGGTGTTTCAGTTTGTGTCTCTTTATACTATAGTTTATACATATCTATAGTTTACGAACTAGGTATAAAATAAGTTTGGTCGTAAAACACACATCGTTTGAAAAGCAAAGAGAAAATATCTGCTTTTATAAATATTTCAACATCGTGGAATAACTCAAATATAAAATGTTCGTCACATTTGCGTGATTAAAATACTTATTGGCACGTAAGCAAAAACTCGTAGTTCATGATTGTGCTTAACATGAAAAAGGAAAATTATTTTTGTGAAAATGTATGTCAATAACGCTATTCGCATACCTATTTTTGGAATACGCGTGAGAATGGAAATATTATGCAACGTGTTCAAGCTACTTCAATTATTGGTAAATAACAAAGAAGTAAGAAGTATAGTCAAGTTATGTTTCTCCATGTAAAGACCATAATTATCGTGCGATCCTCAAAAATATTGCTTAAATGTACCCCGACGACGTCCGCCCAGAATTAAAAAAAAACTTAATTAGCAGCCTATGTGTTATTCCAGACTATGTTCTACATCTATGCCAAATTTCAGCCAGATCTATGCAGCCGTTCTGGAGATATCTTCAAACAAACATCCATCCATCCATACGTTCGCTTATTTAGATTTGACTATACTTACAAGTTAACGGTACTCATTATTTTTCCTCTTTGTAATACGACATGCTTTTCTTTCATTTAGCTCTTCCCAATTCTTCTTGGTTTCCTTAGCTTTGTCTATGAACATTGCTTTTCGTATCTTTCAGCACACAATTTTTGCTAGTCAACAAAAAGCCTTGAATTCAAATATAATATAAAGGAATATAAAAAAATGGTAATGAACAATAGCAAATTAGAACGTTTAAAGACCGTAATTACTCCTCGCGTGTTCACTTAACGAAGCCGTTTATCTATCAACTTCTGCCAGACTAAATGTAAATAACTAACTCTAGCCGTACCCGCGACGTCGTCCGCGTGAAATACTGTCTGATTAGGATTATACTGCGAAGAAGAAGGAGAAGGGAAAGGAGAGGGAGAGGGAGTTTTCTGTAGCCTTGTCTACGAAGGGCCTTAATGTACTTATTATGAAAGTGGTTTTGGACATTGGTAATCGGCGGGGATCGAACACGAATGCAGGTATTTATAATCCAATGCATATAACTGAATGTTGGCCAACAATACAATATCTTATTTAAATAAAGATAAACCCGCACCCCAGGTCCCTGACCCAAACATGTTAGGGGATCGAGAACGGAAAATACGAAGCATAGCGCCGCCCAAAAAAAAAAACAAACCAATATCTTTTGATAGCACTTGCGAGAATGTGACTAGTCTTCATATTTGTGAATGTAGTGAATGTTGGTAATAATAAAACAGCAAGTAAACAAAATATCATTTTATGTTTTCCAAATACAAAAAAATATTTTAACGATTTAAAGTAACAGTATAGAATACAGCAATAATAAACATTTTTAAGGAGTGCATATAAATTAAATAATCGCTAAATAGTTGTGTTAAAATATATAGAATTAATAATTATTTTTTACTATAATTTTAAATATACATGGAACGGGATTTTTCATAAGCTTTTAGTAGCCAAGCAAATTTACATTTTATAATGTTAATAAACTGACTTTCACTATGTTTTGATTACGATATCTATCTCTTTGACCGTCGGTTTCTGAGACCGAAATTTCTGTATAAAACATATCGTCCTTGTAATTATCTTTGACAAAAGAGATAACAATAAAGGGGATTTCTTGTGTATAACAATAAAGATTTTTTCATTTTTTCATTCAGGTCTCGGTAACCCACGGTAAGTCATATAACATCGATAACTACTTTTGTTATGAATTTTATGGTACTTGTAAGCGGTAAAAGAGAGTCGACAACATTTGATTTTCGTGATTTTGTTAATTCAGCTTGTATTTCTTTTACAATTGTCGCAAAAAGTATAACTAAAATATATAAAAAATATATTGGAAATTATTGTTATTAAAACAGCAATATTATTTTAATCATCGTTGTCATTATTGTACCTACGATTTAATTATTTTCAAAAAGCTTTGAGACTTTACGCTAAAATGTTTTTTTTATTTCACTATAGATAGCTCATCACGATTCGGCGCGTGATTTTATACTACGAGTGCGTTCAGTTTACCTCGCGCCAATTAGAGTTGAACTTCACGTATTTACTTAATTAAGAAGTTTTACTATTATTTCGTTGTTAACTAATCTAAATATCTACAATTTCACAGCATCAATCACTCAAGTTACACAGTCCCACACAACAAAAAAAAATCATTCGTTTCTTCAGAAAAAAAAAAGTTGTACAGTTTTTTAACAACACTGACGTTTAATACAGATTAAAAATACATACGATGTGTTGTCAAAATATATTTTTTTTATTTCATTTATTTCGGAACGTATTTGTTACAATTTAAAAAAGAACACACGACCCATTTTAAATAATTACTGTGCTCATTTTTTTTGCAATAGTTAACAGCTGTGGAAGCGAATGTCAAAGAGTAAGCAAGAAGATTAACAAAGATTATAATATTTGTAACATTTAAAAACCTTTCGTATATTTTACACTTTATTTTTATAAGCTCCAAAGTGATCGGTAAATTTTTTATGACGTAGGATAAATTTTAGAAATAATTTTAACAATACAACAATAGCAATGGACGGCAGCAAGCTTGGCGTATGCCAAAGCTAAATATAAAAGCGTAAAATTCGAAATATACGAATACAAAATAATTTTGACCTTTTTTGTATTAGGTACTCTTGTTTTATAACTCTGGGTAAAATTAATTTTTATAAAGAGGAATCACATACAGGAAAAAGGGAGAGCACAGGTTTTTTAAAATATTTTTTTTTACACAAATTTCAATTTTTTTTTTAAATCAAAATTAGATTTAATTGCTCCGATTTCATCCTGACTTAACTATGTTTTACAATACCATAAGCAAATATTTTCTAGAACTTTCTTTCTCCCTCATTTCACACTGAACTAGTCTGAAATTGCTTTTTAAACAATAATAATATTTAAATCGTCGATAAGTAATACATTTTATTTCATTATTAATCTACTAGTTAAATCTACAAGATTTAAAACTACTCTTTTGTCAGAACTAAAGCTGAAAGCAAAATTGCGCGATATAACGAGTTTTTATAATTGACCGTATTAAGATAAAAGATAAATTTATAACAGCATAGTTGATATAGGATTGTATCTCATTATTTTGGACAGTAATATCCAAAGCAAGGAGGTTGTAGTTGCGAGGGCAACACCACCCCAGCCGAGCTCCAGCGACCAGCTTGTTGTGAACTCTCTAGCTGAGAGCAGAGGTAACGCGGCTAAGCGCGGCCCGACCACGCCGTCCGCGGTGTCGTCGCCATGGCTACTGCTGCGGGTCGATACACGCTGGATACGTTTGAAGTGGATTATCATGAGCGTGAACATCGCGAATAGACCTGCAAATGTTCGCTTGTTAATAATTGCTACTGTAAGAGAAATTTATGCTTCTAGATTGCTTAACAATTTAGTAGCAACAGGTCTCGGACGAAGTCTAACTGCTGTATTCAATGTAAATAATTCTTGCTTTTATTTATTGTTATCAAGTGTGGTAGGAGCAGTAAAAGTACCAGGACAACATACCGGCCAACAGGTACATGACGCCGGTAACCAGTACGGCGCTGATCTGGTGCTTGCAGACGCCGAACGCGCCCACCAGTGCCGCGCTGCCCAGTACAATCAGGCACACCATCGCGCATGATATAGACAGGTTCTGCATGCCTGGTACACACATTTAAATGTAGAACTCGACTAAGTCAGGCACGAGATGATGGGGTCAAATATGTTTTTTTATTCTTCTGTGTTCAGTCTAGAAAGTAAGTAGTAGATGTTTCTCTTCTATACCCTATCATTTTCTGCTCTTTTTTAATCTGATTTCATTTCGCTTTTAACACTTTAAACGGCTTAACTCACGTATGATCCGTTGATGACGTGACGCGACCGCGAGAAAACTATAAACACTCGACCTAAATATGGATACCCGACGGATTCAAAACTAGTCGGAGCCGTCACGATCGTACGAGAGTTAAGACATTCCTAATTAGTTTATTATAATGTCACACTACAATTTAAACAATTTAATTTCACACTTTTTTACAAAATTAAGTATTTTGCATTGAAACTGTATTTAAAAACACTAATGTAGACTCGTAATTATTATTTTAAACAATTAATAAGCGAGTGATTTAATTAAAGTACTCACGATGTTGCCAGTCCGCTCTGGGCTCCTCGTCCTCGTTGTTAGCTAAGTAGTTTGTGCACAGCGGCTCCTGTGGGAACCCCGCCCTCGACAGTATCGTCACCTCCTCCTCTGACACAATATATTGTTAGTTATAATGAGTTTTAGATATCAATGTGCTCGCGCGATATTGTGACGTCATTACTCTCATATTGAACTAAATAAGTAGCGTCAGAGAAACTGACAATTAAAAAAATATATAAATTTTTTTTTGTCTAAATATTATACACATGTATGTCTTAATTTGCACTTTCTTAGTTGATTAATAATGTTTTCTACAGGATCACATGTCAGTGTCTAAAATGATTTCATTTGATCTCTATATAGATAGCTATAATATTATAATTCGTAGGAGATGCATGTATTACCTTCCAAAGACACACACATGGTCCAAATGCCGCCGTTCATTGGTACTAAAAATGTACCGCCGCCTTTACGATTGTTTGCTCCCTCTACCTGAAATGCAACTTGATATTAAGTTTATACATAATATAAAAAATAGTTTAAAAAATTTATTCTATTATACTTTTATTATCTGCAGGTCCTGGGTTCGAATCCCGCCATGTACCAATGTGTTTTTCGATTTCCGATTTACATATGTACATTTGCATATTACATATTACATGAAAACATCGTGATGCAACCTGCACATATCTGAGAAGTAATTCAAAGATATGTGTGAAGTCAACCAACCCGCACTTGGCCAGCGTGGTTGACTATGGCCTAATCACCCTTAACTTAGGGTAGGCTCCGAGCCCCTCGGTGGGGACGTATAGTGAGCTGGTGATGATACTTTTATTTAAATTTCATAAAGTTAGAGCTACGATACATACACAAGGCTACGCATATCTGCGATTTTAGTATCGTGGCGACATACAATCTCATAAAGATTCATACAAAGGCTCACTTCGCTGACATATGAAATTGTATTAAATCGCTTAGAAACTAAAACCTTAAATTTGCTTAGCATTATGATTTTTTTTTTGTATATTTATGTTTTTTATTGTTTTAATAAGGAATTAAATGAATGAAATTAAATATTCCTTTATCTATTTAGGGTTCAAAATTTGACGAAATTATGCAAAGATATCTTGCAGTCGGTAAAAAGGTAATTCACGTGTTTTTAAATTTTGTAGAGTATACGCACATTGCATTTCTGTTTTTGAAGTTTTTAAGATTATATTATACACTTAAGATGTTTACGAAATAAAATTGTAAGTACACTCAAGAGTGTTTTTAAAAAGTATTTTGACATTTACTGCATACAATAACTACTTAACCCCAGGGTCGTTTCAGGTGTTTGTGTAGTGTTTTCTTTGAACCCACGAACGTGTAATGTCAGAAAAACTTTACAATAAATTATCAATTAGCTAAAGTTACTAAAAGAATTTTAACTTTTAACCAACTTTAGCAATATATCCTTATTTAACTTGGATATAAAAAAATACTTTCTATTGGTGACTGTCCGAAACCAACAAATAAATAAAACAAAGTATTTTGTTTCATTCATTATTAATGCAAACATTAAATGTTATTTATTTAACGCTTAAGTTTAAGTTCCCGATTTATATAAAATGAATATGAAAAAAGGTTTTAATGTTTCAAATGAGTAAACAATGAAAAGGCAACGAAAGCGAACAACCTTTTACCATTTGTCAATGTCAAGTATATAAAATGTGCTTGTTTAAATATCCAGTAATATTTTCTATTCTTTTTTTATATTTTCTTCCAAGGCTGGATGTAATCGGGCGATATTAGTATATAACAAAACAATGACAATGTACACAATAGCCTTTTTATAGAACTGAAAGAAATCATTGCGATAGATATTATTTTTACATGGTAAAGGTCAAATTTTACTAACAATCTAAGTTAAGCTAAAAGTATATTTTAATCCGAGTATAAATCTTAAAAGTCTGATAAGAGATTTGCACCGACCTGTTCCTTACTTTGTTACAAGAACTCGAATAAAATATACAATTTTGTATGTATTATATTATACTATCTGGGAATCTGACGATATTTCACAATAAAAGTGATATTTATTTGAACGTAAACAACTTTTTACTATTATGTCACCATGTGCCACTCATTGCTACCGAATTGTTTATTTTGAAGGGTTCGTCACGTTGCATGGTACAAGGCATTTATTCTGTACGCCAAGCACCGCGAATGGCCCTTACTGTACTTTTTTCTGTAAGCTGAGCAACGCGAATTGCCCTTACTGTACTTACATTACCCGGATAGACACGAATTTCCAAAACTGGCTGTCACAATTAATGGCTGTATTAAATTATTAATCACGCTGTACAGTCACCAGTGTGAAAAAATCATAAATTTTTTAACTACAATAATACTACATTTTTCAATTGAATTACATGTAAATAATATTTATTTTATACAGAATGATAGCAAAATAATCGTTATTGATTACTGTGATTTATTATTCAGGCTCAATTACTGTTAGCGATCAGGTCAAGGCCGAGATTGTCGTAGCGTAGTAATTGTAACACTACGTTATGTCACTCATTACATGTAACCTACACACATTATGAGCTTTGTTATATACTTATTATATGTAATATATTATATAGAATATATAAACTGCAATAAGATTGAATAACTAATAGTACTACGCAAATATACTAGCATCCAAACTTAATAGCAGCTCTGAATTTCGAACGAAATTTTGCGTTTCAATTTTTGGTATAGATTGGAAGTAAAATGTTAACGTTGTTTTAAGCTTAACTATATGCTTCTCGTTATATAAAAACTTCTTTCATTTAGAAAAAAAAGTTATCAAAAGATTGGTTCCTTTAGAGTTATTTCTACAATATAGAGATTCTCTCAGAGAAGCCGTACTGGGGGCAACGCACAGATTACGTCGAAACCTGTTGTGCCGTCACACTTACAAGTGTTTATATTGTTACTTACATTATCATTAGTTGTTTTTACGAAGCCGCAGTGCGGTAAGGAAATGTATTATTTGAATGAGAGATAAAATGTTATTACAATTTTTAATGATTGTGATAAACTTTACTTACAAAGAGATAATGATACATATCAAATCTATCCTGAACTCTGATAGTGATAAAAACCCAAATATCATTTACATTCCTGTATTCACTTTGGAGAGTTTCGCAAAAGAATAAATAATGTAAAGAAACAAGTTTTGTAGCTCTATTTTCGTAGCGCAATAAAGCTACGTAACTACGCGCTACAGCTAAGAAATTAATTTCGTAGGTTTATCGTAGCATTTTAATTCGAACCTGCATCTTAATGCTTAGCATAAGTGATCATAAAATTTTAAATAAAATAAAATCACACTTACTAAATAAAGACACAAATAGTAGCTAACCTAAATGTATAAACGTGGACCACTAAGTGCCGATAAAGAGAGAAATTGACTTGTACTATGTGTTTTTCATTATTATAATACTATACTATTTATGGCGGCATGCAATATGCACAGGTCGTTAAATAAAACACAATTTTAGCTATTGGCGGGACGTAAAATATGTAATCGGGACATCAACACGGGTGGGCCACGATCACGAGCCCACATAAAGTTTGATGTTATAATACCTTAGCGACTTTGTCGTCTAGCAGCCAGTGCAGCACGGTGTTTGATGTGTTTGCGAGCGCGGCCAGCGCGGCGCGCTCCCACGCCACGTGCTCCCAGTGCTCCGTCATCATAGCAGCGCACAGCATTGCCGTTGAACAACTGTATACACAACTTGTGTTAATCTTAACATCAATAACAATAAAGTCACTATCTGACCTATAGTACGTTTCATAATCTTAGTGCTTTAATAAAGCCTAGGGCTTAAAAGTAGACAAATTAACCACTGACAAGATATCCACAAAGACAAAATCACGCAAAACGTACCACGGAATAATCTAATATGTATTGATTTGAGTATTCAATAAAATTGAATGGTAGATACAAAATTACATGTAATATAAAAATTAAACATTTCATTCTTTAATTAGGTAAATATTCTGAACTTCTATATTGCCTATTATCCCATTAAATGTAAAAGTACATGTCATGTGTTTATATACGGCCTTATACTATACCCTAACTTTGCCCTTTGACGTCCCTTTAGGTCTGATTTACGATGTATTTCAGTTTCGTTACTTGGGTCGTAAAAACAAGAGACCGGGTAACCTTTTTTTCAGTGAAATTGCTTTCTCCTCAGTTTGGTGTTAGACAAATCAAACGACTTTGTTTAAAAACATCTTGTCTATGGATGTGTCTATGAAAAAATCCAACTTTTAAATAGATATGAGATTAATTAGGTACATAAGTTAATCAAAGACTTATTTCGTTCTAGAATGTTAACTTATATTAAAGTTAAGTGACTTAAAACGTCGATATTGAAATAAAGTAATCAGTAATTCTAGTGTCGGCGCCGAAAAGTCTGCCCGACTGAAGCGTGACGCATAATGATTCATTGTCTACTGTACTTTTTCGTACAATTTTTTACGATGAAATTATTCAAATTAGATTTAAATTAATGCCATTATATTAAAACCATAAAATTAAATTAATTTCAATTAAAGGGAAAGTCAATGATTAAACAAAACCAAAATACTGTCACCCGTCTCATTTGTCAGCTTTTCTCTGTATTACGGTGGATAAAGTATTCCGCGGGCTCGTATGTCAATTCCATGGTGACCTGTAACCTAAACAGCTTAACCGATTTTTGGGGGAGAGGTTATCAGTTATCACCCATTCGTATTATTCTGCGAAGTTCCATTAAGTCACAGTCAGTAAATAATTTAGCAATTTTATTAAAATGTCGAATAGCAGTCTATATTTTTTAAATAAAATATAAGCAGAGTTTTGTTATTTTACTAATATTTCATGTACCATTCCAACTAAGCTATATGCTTGTGCTAGGATATGGTTTACGACAATAGTCGAATAGAGATTCGTACTCGGCCATGTGATCGGAAATCCGTACCCTTAACCATTAGGCTATTGACCCTTCAAGTTTAATATGAAGTTTAATATTTTACTCTCTCCTCTTTATATAAGTCTTACGCCGGAAGTTTTAGTGATAACGTTACAAATTGGGTTGTTTTATTAAAATATTAATTTAGGCAGAAAGCGGAGAAGCCGGTATTAGGTTTTACGAGGGTATCGGTAGGGCGTTTAATGTCTTGTTACTACGGAGACGAGGCAATATTGTACGTAATTTATCCATGTTACAGTCGTGAATGAAACTAATCAATTCACATTTTGACTAATCAACATTGTATGATATAGAGAGTTAACTCTTCAAATAAATATTTTTTGCTGTAAGTAACGTTGAAGGAAAAATAGTAAGTACTGGTTTGACCGCGGAGTTTCTCACTTTTTTATCGAAACAAAAACGAAACGCTTTGCTAGATATTAGCGTCGTTAGTTTAAAAATGTATTATGTTTTTCAAACTAATGCTATATTTACAGATTGGCTCTTTTGTGTTCAAACAAACCTATATAAATTCTTATGCTAAACTAGTTTGAAAAATCTTATTTAAGGTTGGTTTTAGAAAATAAGGTCAACTAACTTTGAAGTTTCTTTGAATCAATTCCGTAAAATAATAAAGTAATGATAGATAAAGATCTGAATCTATTTAACAATAGAAATAAAACAAAAGATTGCTAAGATTTTAAGAGTTATTTATAAACTTAAAGAAACTGCGGGGCTACACAAAGTGCATTCGCTACGGAGCGATGCCATAGCGAACTTCAAAAATGAAACTGACGCGCGACAATCGAACTTATCGAATAGTATTGTCAGTTCTATACATTTTTGAAGTTTGTTACGGAGTCGCTTCGAAAGAATGTACTCCGTGTAGCCCCGCTTAACCGCCATTTCTAAGAAGCGTGTTTGACAGTGTAATTTCGTAGGAAATTATTTTATACAGTGTTGCCCTATGTAAGCACAAGTTTAATTATTAAAAGACCAACCGCTGACTTAATGAGAAAGACAAACAAAGCAATATAAAACAAATACAAAATAACAGCGTTTAAACGAATATTAAAACATGTTAACTCCTACATATTTTTGACAGGTTCAGGTGAAGGCTTTTGTTTAACATTGAATAAAGTTTATACAATGAGGTATTTATATTTATTAAATTATACATACATTTTACTAATATTATAAATGCGAATGTATGGATGGATGGATGTTGGTTTTAAGGTTGCTCTGGAACCGCTGAACGGATCTGCCTGGAATTTGGAATAGATCTAGAGCACAGGTTGGAAGAACACATAGCCGACTTATTAAGCTTTTTTTTAAATCTGCGTAAACGGATTCGCGGACGACAACTAGTATTTAATAGTTTAATAGCTATTATTCTCGCTAGCATCTAGTACTTTGGTCTAGTTGAAAATGTGTTCACTTATTTTTATTGCAATATCATGTCTCTCAAAGAATTTAATTATGAAAAGTGCACGGAGAATGAAATTATTAGAAGTTTTTTCATGTCATTCCAGAAAGAAATTGCGTTAGTGGTTTAGGGGTTAAGCACTTGGCTTGCAATCTGCAGGTCCTGGGTTCGAATCCCGCCATTTACCTGTTTTACGAATTTCGATTTACAAATTTACATTATTCGACGTTCTTACGGTGAAGGAAAACATCCAACGCAACCTGTACATATCTGTGAAGAGATTTCAAATATATGTGTGAAGTCAACCTGCACTGGGCCATCTTAGTTAACTATGGTCTAGTCAGCTCTAAGGTTTGACTCCGTGCCTCGCAGTGGAGACGTTTAATGTACAAATTTATTTTATTATTATTTCGTATTGGTTATTACAAATAAGCGCCAGATTATAAATTTCTAAAGACAATGCTTTGTTAAAAAAAACATGATGCAATTGTATAAAAGCGAGCTATAAAAATGTATGAAGAATAAAAGTAGGTTAAAAATAAAGCAATTTTATCCGAAATTGCTTTAAAGTTCTGACGCATTTATTTCCTGGGTTGCGGCATTACAGCATTATGTCAAACTATTTATTCAGACCTTTGCTGCATTGTGCTAGAATACAATATTTGTAATTATTTTTTCAAGATAGCTTCCGATATTATTTCTTACTTATCTTATTAATGTGAATGTTTAGATGGATGGATGTTTGAAAGTATCTCCAAAACGGCTGAACGGATCTCGATTAAATTGGCATACATATAGAACATAGTCTGGAAGAACATATACGCTACTAATTATGTTTTTTTTAATTCCTCGCGGACGAAGTCGTGCGCGATAGCTATTGAAAAATATTTTCTTTCTAAAATACTTGTGTCTTTAGATAGGTTCATTCATTTAGAAAAGCTTGTTGCCCTGTCCTTTTCCTACTTTATGTATGACGTTACAAAAATTATCGTGCTACAAATAATTTTAGTCATTTGATTTAGAATCTTCTTCATCATGTCATCATTCATGGAATCCATCTATTTCGTCTTAGGCCTATTTCTAACGATGTACCATATTTAGAGCTCCCCTTTACGCTGTTCTTCTATTTAAAGATCCCTTTTGAGGACTTATTTAATTTATTTTAAAATTATTAAGGTAAAACATGTAAAATGCTATATTTATGTATTAATCAACTTTAGTTTCTTAGTATTGATTGAAAAAATGGCCGTAATTTATTAGAAACGTGGGCAGACGTTGGGAATACAATGCGCCTTTGTGGTCTCTCCCTTAGGATAAAGGGCAAATATAAATCAATGTTCGGCTTTGATTACGTTGAATGGTACGTAATGTAATCGACTACGATGAACTTATCTATGAACTTGCTTGCTTTTTTAATTTTTTACGTCCAGATGTAAAGTGTAACTTATTTTAAGGCCACTAAGTTTCAATGTAACTAGAGCTTTTCCTATATTAAAGCAAAAAGCAACTGAACCTTACTAAGGATTAGTTTAACATATTCTGACCGTTTGATACCCTACGATGATAGCCAAACGTTCGTGTAGAGGAAAATAGGAATGCTGATGGAGGCGAAGATTACGTCAAAACAGTCCAATCAATTGAAAAAACACAGCTCTGGTGTTCACAAGGATTAGGATCAAGAAACATGGTACCTGGTAAGTAGTAATGTGGCCAGCAAGTAGAATACAGAGGGGTGTACACCACAATCGCATTCAGTCTGTGGCGTGGCTGTCTGGGCCTCCATGCCTGCGCCCAGCTTGTGGTAGGCGATGTACGCTCGCGCCGGGCTGCCGTGGGGAGCAATTTTTGGGGCCTTGATATGCTCGCGATGGCACTAAATCTACTCATCTGGGCGCCTACACCCAACTCCTGACCTAAAAATAAATATCTCTTATAAAAAGCTATCGAACACTCTTAGTTGCAAAGTAAATAATCAAATCAAGATAAAGAGACCTAATGATTTTGTAACTTAAAAGTTTCATTGTAAAAATGATAACAATAATACAATGCTGCATTACAAAATGTTTGATTTTAATTAACATGAAGTCGACACATTAATGAAAGTTTTGAGTTTATATATAACACAATATATAATTCGAAAGAAGCATTTTGGTATAAAGCTAAAAAAGCGTCATACACCTTCTAAAAGAGTTTCGTAATCATAATTAAACGAAGGATAACACCAGAGTAATTTGGCTATTGTCCAATGTTAAGTAAAAATATTTTAAGAAATTCATTTCTTAAAATTGAACGCAGTTCAATGATTTATAACAATAACCCTTAAGTATAGATATAGAAGAATAAATAGAAGACTATTACACTATATCTATTTTAACTATCTCATTTTAATTCCATTTATTACACCTGCGTAAATAAAAAGCTTACTTCTCTTTCAAATCCCCTGCGTAGCACTCCAGAAAAACTTTGGTATTATGTCACATTTTTGATTAAATAAGAAATTATCCTTTATCGTATTATGATATAGAATATTATGACAAGTTATTTACAATCACGATAAATAAAAATAAGAGAGTAAGCGGCTTACCCGCTGTACCGTTCGACACAGACTAAGTTGGAAAATCGTGGAAATGAAGCAATATCTAGTGTTGTGTTGGTATCAACAATTGAAGGAGATATCGATATAACAGGTCCTTTAATAGTGGTTGTATATATTTTCTTTGGGATACACGTGCAAAAGTTACGTTATATATAGAATTTGTTATAACCGTTATACTTAAAATTACTTCATCTGTTCGTAACAATGTATATGTTCTCACTGTTCATGTTAATTTATTATTACTATACCTACATTTTTAAACTTTTGCTCCCAACCGTAATATCTAGGGTCAAGGAATTGAAATTATTACATATGGATATCGAATTTTATCGATAAAACTTAAAAGGATAATGTGCATCACTACATAAATATTGGGCGGGCAATTGCTATCGTTGGGGCGGGCGGGGGAAAAGTCGATACCTATCGCGTGTCATTATACGATGCACCCTGCATTGTGGTTAACGCGTTTATGTAATTATTATTCTTAATCTTTTGGCACAACAATCCACTCAGGTGTAATGTATATACACGCTTAAATCAACAACCACCTTTACAACCTTGTAAAAGAGAGCTTACTTTGTTTAGACAATATTTAGAAGGCAAAAACATTGTACAGCAAATCAAATTGGCGAATAATTAGGTATCACAAGATGTAGTTATGCAGTAGAAATGTCAAAGGTTTGATTTCCTGGCCATAACTCGTACAGCAACGACTTGCCTTTATTTTTATTACAAAAAAGGCAAAGACTAATAAATTATACATTAGTAATTTGTACAAGGACATATTATTGATAATTTTTATTTATCAAAGATAAAGAGAGGGATGATGAGAATGTAAGTACATATAAAGATCTGTTTCCTTCGATTATAAATGTTGGTAATCGAAGTCTGCTTTATGTTTTTAATTTTTTAAGAGAAAGGGGCAAACGAGCGGGAGCACCGAGGTGATCAATGACACCCAAAAATATTCAATATATATCATGTAGTTTATATATTTTAAACGTCTTTGTTTATTAAACTAATTAAGGATGCAAAACGCAGGACCTCTATTCTTTGTACAGATTTATGACATAACCGAAAATTCATGACTACCGCGAATATGCGTGTGGGCGGAAAATGGAACACCTTCCAGGTCCAGCTTAATTCTCCGAAACAATAACTACTTAATACTGTATTAGTGTGAAGCGAAAAGGTAAAAGTACTAAAATATTGATGAACTAGATAAGAAAGGTTGTATAATCAAGTTTTATTAAATTAATAAAAAAATGAAATTGAAAATTTATTTGCTAGTGTTACCTAAAGTAAGGCAAAAATATTACCAAACTGATTATACCTAGTGACAAAAATGAATTTATAAATTTGAAAAGTAATCCGAAAAAATCAATTAAATTTATTTTGATAGGTCGTGATTTATTTATAGTTCATAAATTACAATACTGCAAGGAATAAGCGCCAACCATATTTATAAATTAGAAATTTAGAAGCTGACCTCACTTAGCAATAGCAACACTGACAAACAACGAACGAAGAACGAACGACGTGCCGATGAATTGCGGTTGTAAAAGGGAAAGTTATTTCTTCTTGATTTTAGTGAGATCAAGTTCAAAAGCGTAGTAATATAAGCAATAAAACAATAGGTTTTTTTGTTTCAACAACATTTAACACTCTAAATAAACGTAAGTATCAAAAGTTTTTTGCAATAACTTCAATCATCATTTTGGCGGTAACAGTCAAATACTGTGTTACACTTTGTAAAATAGAATATTGTTTTGTTCATAATATTGGCAAGGGGCTCTTTTGACTGTATTTGCTTATTTATGTTATAAATAAGAATGATAATTCTGCGCTGCACGTGGCATTTTACATTCTTATTGTTTTCCTTACACCAGTTGTCACGTTGACCGTTACAACCCGGCGCGGCAGGTATGCACATTGATATGCACCTGCGACTTTGTAATTTGCCATTTCATCTTGTTGCGTAGTATAAATAAGCTATAAAAGTTAGTATTATACAAAAAATAAAGAATAAGTATCTAACATTACAATCGCATACTTAAACCATACAGCTAATCGTGATTACGAATGTTTATTTGGTTTGATTTTATTACATCTTATTAACTTCTGTATGCAGTCATACCTCTATTTTACAAATAAATGCGCCTTCCCAAATACTGCCGTTCACTTTTGAAAGATGGATTTGTCTTGAATAATTGACATTCGAAGAACAAATGTTTTGTTTTATGTTTTAAGATGGCTGATGTAGCAGATGTGAGCACTTCATCGCCAGCAGAGTTGCTAAGCGTAGGCAGGAGACATCTTGCGGTGAGAAACTATAGTGCTGCGGTTGAGGCTTTGACTAAGGCCTGCGAGCTGCTTGCTGCTGAACATGGTGATACCGCTGACCAGTGTGCTGAAGCTTATTTATGGTAAGTTACGTTTAACATTGAAGACCAGTTTACTAATTAATGTACTATTATAATGTTTGTATATCAGCTAAATTTGAGACTAATGTAAATTAAAGATGTAAGAACTAATTTAAAATATGTTGGTCTTTTAAACAGTCATGTGATACGCATGTAAATGTTATGCTAGGAAAAACATTATATAGAAATATAATTCAACAGGTACGGCAAAGCCCTCCTTGGTTTATCAAGAGAAGAAAGCGGTGTCTTAGGAGATGGTATGCCGGGAACTGGTAATGCAGATGAAGATGAAAATGGAGGTACATTGGACTAAATTACCAAAGCTTTTCATAGTTTAAAATATAAAAATACTTGTATGTGTAACAATAAATATTGTAATATTCAGATCAAGAAGATAATGATGAAGAACAGAATGAAGATGGTGAAGAGGGCACTGAAGCAGAAGCCAAAATGGAGACTCAGGATGATTCAGCTGACAGTGGAACTGAAGTGGAGAAGACCGAAGCTGAATCTACCACAAAGGATGACGAACCAACTGTGGTAGCATCCAGCGGGAATGATGATGAGAAACCTGTTAGTATTTTATTTAATTTATTTTTGCACATACATTTGCTAACTTTAACAATACAGATCCAACAACTAAAGGCTATTCAGTTGCCATAAATAAGCAACGCAACAAGCAACAAATTAGTAAAAAAAATTTAAAATACATTTCGTTTAATTACGTACTGATGGTTTTTCACATTAGTGGTAGCCATTATTTTAAAAAAAATTCTATCTTAAATTGCATATATCTTCAATTTTTTGTTAATTTTGACTTATAATTTGGATACAAGGGGACTTCAAATGGTGATGCAATGGATGAGACTATGGACAATTTGGACAATGAAGACGATGTTGACAACCTGCAATTAGCATGGGAAACACTTGGTGAGTTATCAAACATCATCAGCTTGTTCATTACTACTGAAGGGTATGAGTCTACAATAAATTAGGGGCGACAAAGCCTTATTACTTTGTCTTTGAGTTACTTTGTAGATATGTGCAGGTTCCATCACAATGATTTTTTGTAAAAAAACATGTTAAGAAGTACTTCCACACTTGCTTAATACCACAATAATAATTAAGAGCAAAAAAATTAATCTTTATGTCATTTCAGTGACTTAGTAAAGAGTACAATGTGAAATTCCGTGTTGTACAGATCTGGCACGCAGTATTCTGAAGCGTCGTGTGGAGGCGGGAGGCGGGGATGCTGCAAGAACGCTACTGGCTGACGTACATCTTGCGCTGGGAGAGGTCGCTCTGGAGAGTGAGACCTACGACAAAGCTGTCACAGATATGAGTATGTATATGATTATATGAAAAGTAGCTTTTGCCCGCGAATTCGTTCGCACGGTATTAAAAATATTTAATTATTAGCCTATGTGTTTTTCCAGATTATGTTCTACTAATTTAGGGGTCCATACAGCTGTGTCCGAGATACCTTTAAACAAGCATCTATCCTTCTATCCGAATATTTGCTTTTTTATTTATAATATTAGTAAGATGTTAACAAATATATTTTTAATTTACTTTCCAGTGACCTGTTTGGAAATTCAAAAAGAACTGTACAGCAGTGATGATAGGTGTATAGCTGAAACGCACTATCAAATTGGTAAGGAGAAATATATCAATTTTAAGAAACACAAAAAATATATTGTATATTCAAAGTAAAATAACGTCTTTCCAAAGGAAATTAATTTACAACTTTCAATTTACATTTTTCTGAAAAGAGGGTGATAATTAAAGAAAAAAAAACCTTTTTAAAAGTAAGCACTAATGTTCTTGTAAATTTAAAGGTCTAAAAATAAATAAGACTAACTATTTGCCAGGACAATTCAAAAGAAATAAACTCGAGGTTGTATCGTTTCATTGCCGCCTTCCAGCTCCATCATCAGATCAGCACCATGTTATGCAAAATTTCATCTCAATCAGTAAGAAAAGTAGTATTACAGATTGTAATTATTTAATTTCTTCTTTAAAGGTCTCGCAAACTCTTTGGCATCAAGCTTCGATGATGCAGTAACACATTTCAAGAATGCAGCGAATATTCTAGAGTCGAGAATCAAAGCATTAGAGAGTGCTAATCCTAAAGATGATGCTACTATAAAGAAATATAAATTAAACGATCCATTCTATTCTATTGAAGCAGAGATAAAGGAATTAAAGGAACTTCTACCTGAAATACAAGAAAAGATTCAGGATATGACAGATTGCAAAGCCGAGGTAAGACCCTGTGATTGTCTAGAGGATACTAGAAATATGTTGAGAAGTTTAATGTTGAAAGAAAAGAATCATAAAATAGTCACACCGATGTAATTGGGAACATACTCTTTACATTCCATTCTATCCATTATAGGATTAAGCATTTATGATTAAGTGTAATCTTCCTATTGATCTAAATCAAATCTAATTCGCTAATTTTATCAGTATTACGGTCTGTTTCACAATGTCCAATTGTTTCCTTTGGATTTTATTTGACAAAGTTGTTGTTCTGCAATTAAAGTGCCGATAGCCTAATGGTTAACCATGTGATCGGAAATCGATACCCTTAAGGGTATCGATAGTTTGAGTGGTAAACCATATCCTAGCACAAACCCGGTCAAGCTTAGTTGGATTGGTACATTTTTTTTTAAATATTAGTAAATAAAGAAAAATTGCTAAGATTTACAATAAATCTGAAAATCAGCTGTTAAATACAAACTGTCTTACAGAATGTTAGTTAATTTATTTGTTAGTTATCCAATACTTTACTTGGACATTGTGGAACAGTTCCTTTATTGTCCATGAGTAAATTGTGATCAGTATTAAATTTAGAAGACTGAAAATTTGCTAAGTAACATTTTTTAACCCTGTATTACTAATTCAGAATGATTATTCCAGTAAATAGGTACTTTTTACCTTAAACTTTTTGTTACAACTGTAAAGTTGTCTAGACTTTTTGCCCCTAATTGTTTTTTATGCTGTGAATTTCATTGATTTTTTTTTAGTATTATATTCTTATATGCCTATGAATCTCAATTAGCATTTGAAATACTCAAAATGTATAATACTTAGAATTGCACTAGTCTGTAAGTTTTTGACTCTCGTGATATACCACAAGGCCATTTTTGTATTGCGTTTACAATTTTTTTTCAATAATAAAATCATACAAAATTATACCTGCCTATTATTTTATACCCAATACAATAATGACCATGTGGTTTTTACATGGAATTTTGAAGCTGGCATATCTATTACATCTGTTAATCATCATTTCATAAATTAAATAGAATCTCCTATGAGTCCTCCTGTACTTAGGGAACGTACCCATACTATGTGACCCGATTAGAGGGGTGGAGCAGAATCTTAAATACTATGGGTCACAGGAGCGGGGGGGTCTCAGATTTTAGTCACGTAGTCGTTACTTGTTTTTTTTCATAATACATAATTCACTAGTAATTTAAGTATGCATGCAGCTGCATTGTGCTATAAAGAGTATGACCCTTTTTTTTTAAATTTTGCCTGTGAAATGATTAAAAATCATAATTATGAATTAATACGTAAAAACTAAACGGAGGGGGGGGTCTTGGCATGTACTACGAGTGGTCACCGAGGTGTGGGAGGGGTCGAAATAACTAAAAAAAAGGTCATATAGTATGGGTATGCTCCTTTAGATGCCTGAACTAATTTAATTGGATGTTAAGTTGATTAAAGTTGTTTGTAGTCAATTAATAGATATGAAAAAAAAATCTTTCTACATGTTTTCAACAAATAACTAATCAATACCAATAGCTATGAATTCAAAATGAAAATTTCTTACCAAGCTATAATTTACTTCACATTAAGGCCACATATACAAGAAATTTAAAAAGATAAATTCAAGCTTCATGTTATTCAATTAATACTTTATTTCAGACGATAAAGCGAGTCCGTGAGACTTTATGCCCAGAGAATGGCGAGGGTTCAGGAGAACCAAGCATTGCCAGTTCGACTACCTCTGAACCCAAACTTAAACCTGCTGCATCAGACATCTCGCATCTTATCAAGAGAAAGAGGAAGGCTAGTGACAGTGAGGCGGATTCTGTCTCAAAGAAAGTTAATACGTGAAGTGTGTTTTTGTGTTTGATTAGTGAAAAAAGTGATGTTTTAGTGTTAAGAAGCCTTCTAATTAAGTTAAGGACATCCAAGGTAAGTTTTTAAGATGAATCTACTTGAAATTCAGTGGTTATTATTTTTATTAGCTTGTTTATGTACTAACTTATGTTATTTAAAAAATTAAAATCAACATATAATATTGGAATTGACTAGAAAATTGTAATACATATTTAAATTTTGTTCAATTTTATGCTTTTTACATTTATTGTTTAATATATTTTTTTTATGTCTTGAAATAAATTACATCTTTACACACACCAATTGTTAAAGTTGTTATCAATTCTAATATCTGATTACTGTGGGTTTCCAAGTCCAAATTCCCTGTTTAAAACATATTGCAATCTCTGTGTTATCAAAGATAATAAAAGCGATGATATGTTCTATACAGAGATTTAGGTAAAAACTCACGGTTGGTAAAAAGATGCAGCTGTTATTTGACAAGTCTCTGACTGAAATAAATGTAAGGTATTGTGCTTGAATGTATTCTGTTAGTATATTGATATATTTTAGTATTTGTAAGTTTGTAAGAAATTAATGTTCTATGTTAATTATTATAATAAACCTATGGGTATGTTTGTATTGGATTTTTTATTATTACACCATTGATCCATACCACATTGGTCCATCTTACTAATATATATGCAAATGGTTGGATGGATGTTAGAAGGTATATGTAGAACAGCTGCATGGATCTCACTGAAATATAGTATAGATGTAGAACATAGTTTCGTAGAACACATAGGCTCTTAAGGCTATTAACTATTAGCTACTTTTACATATATATTTTCATCAATTTTGAGTTAATGAAACAAAAATGCAATCTTATGCTGATACACCATGAAGCCATAATCCAAATATTATATTAAAAAAAACACATTTTATTCTACATACTACATACTATAGTTTGTGCCAACTCTGATGTCCACCAAACTTTACCAAAATTTTCACTACATGAAAGTGGACAAGCATTAATTAAAACATTGATTATATTATTGCTTGAACAATTCTTCAAATTCTACAATACTTTTAAACTTTCACAACAGCTTTTCCTTTGTTTTCACCGGCAAGTACTCCAAGAAATGCATCGAAAATGTTATCAAAGCCTTCTGTTACATGTTCACCAGCTTTTAACTGTCCACTCTTGATCCAGTCTACTAGTTGTGAGAATCCCTCCTGCCACCTCTCATACCATTCACCGGTTATGAATCCTCGTATAGTAAGCTGTTGAAATACAATCGCTGGCTGCAGGATTGTTGCTTTAGGTAATTCTTTCATGTTATTTGAAGCTATGCTTCCACATACTGATACTCTCCCAAATTTGTTCATTTGATTGATAATAATACTGCTTATTTCTCCACCGACGTTGTCAAAGTAACAGTCCACGCCATTAGGAGCGACTTTCTTAAGTGTTGTCGCGATGTCCACAGTTTTGTAATTGAGTGCTTTGTCAAAACCAAGTTCTTTTTCTAGCCATTCCACTTTGTCATCCGAACCCGCAAAACCGATTACATGGCAACCCTTGATCTTGGCGATTTGTCCGACTAGAGAACCGACAGCTCCCGCTGCCGCCGTCACAACAACTGTTTCACCGGCTTTTGGTTTACAGATTTCTAGAAAACCAAAATAGGCGGTGACTCCTGGCATACCTACGGCGCCGATTCCTAGTGATAGCGGTAGACCTTTCAAATCAGGAAGCGGATAAACATATCCTACAGGTCCACTGAGTTCTCCATCTTTAGCGATGGTATAGTCGCTCCAACCTTTATGCGTTACCACTTTCATGCCAATAGAAAACTTGGGGTCTTTACTTTCCTGTACAACTCCAACTTGGAAACCAAACTGATCATACGGGACCTTGAACAAATAATTGTAGCCGCGTTGGTATGGATCCACACTAAGCCATTCAGTTTTGACCAAGATCTCTCCATCTTTTAATGGAGGTAATTCATATTCCACTACTTCGAAGTCTTCACGTTTCGGAACTCCTTCGAAATATTTTTTTACTACGTACTTCCTGGCTTTAACCATAGTTAAAACCAGGTCTAGATTCAACTGCAGAAAACTAAAAAAACGTTATACTTATACGCGAGTAAACTAAAGTTATCGCAAGATAAAGTGAAACGACTCATGATTAAATAAATCACTCATGTACTAATGAATGAGACAGCATATATTTTTATAATGTTTCGGTAGCAGATTAATATACGGTAACCCGTTTGCTTGTTTACCTCATATGTTACTACTACAAAAGTATTTACAAAAGATTAACACTAAGCATAGCTGATGCGATGCATTACAATTGCTAGGCAATATTTCATTTAAGTTCTTAATAGCTATATTTAGAAAAAAACAACTTTATTTTTACATTATGTAACATTTTTATTTAACTTAATATTTACATTATACTACTATTTGATATATTTTTCTCTTGAAGTTGAAAAAAATTTAATCGTAACATTTATCTTTATTTGAGTACACATTAAACTTTCACCACAGCTTTTCCCTTGTTTTCGCCTGCAAGCATTCCAACGAACGCATTAAAAATGTTATCAAAACCCTCTGTCACATGTTCTGCTGCTTTCAATTGTCCACTCTTGATCCAAACTACAAGTTCAGGTACCACTTTCGGCATTAGGTCACGCCATTCCGAGACAAGGAATCCTTGTATCATAAGATTTTGAGAGATTATTGCTGGCTGTAAGATTGTTGCTTTAGGCATACTCCCCTCTTCATTGTAGGAACTGATGCTACCACATACAGATACTCTACCAAATTTGTTCATTTGATTGATAATAACGCTGCTAATTTCTCCACCTACGTTATCGAAGTAACAGTCTACGCCTTTGGGAGCAGCTTCTTTAAGAGCTTTAGCGACGTCCACGGTTTTGTAATTAACAGCTTTATCAAACCCGAGTTCTTTTTCTAGCCATTCCACTTTGTCGTCAGAGCCCGCAAAACCGATTACTTTGCAACCCTTGATTTTAGCGATTTGTCCGACTAGAGATCCCACTGCACCTGCGGCCCCGGTCACTACAACTGTTTCCCCGGCCTTTGGTTTACAGATTTCAAGGAAACCTGCATAAGCAGTAAGACCAATCAAACCTAAGGCACCCACAGCTAACGATGGCGACAGACCTTTAAAATCTGGTAGAATGTAAAGATGGTCTAATGGTGAAGCCTGCACTCCATCTTTAGCGATAGTATAGTCACACCAACCTTTATGTGATACCACTTTAGTGCCAACTGGGAATTTGGGATTTCTACTCTCTTTGACAACTCCCACTTGTAATCCAAACTGATCATAAGGTATCTTGCTTAACTTATTGTACGCACGTTGATATGGGTCCACACTAATCCATTCTGTCTTGATGAGAATTTCACCGTCTTTTAACGGTGGTAAGTCATATTCCACTATTTCGAAGTCTTCGCGCTTGGGCACTCCTTTGAAATAGTTTTTAACAACGTACTTCCTTGCTTTCACCATGTTTGGTCGCTGGTGGAAACTTAACTGAAGATAAATTTGATGAAATGATTTTTATATCATTCGCTTCCTTATCGGTTATCTCATTTTTATTCAAAAAAAAAGTGCATGTCATTGTCTTACCACTACTAGAATGGTACTAGAAAAACTATGTGATGAATATTTATTTCACCATATGTCGAAAAAATTAATGATTACGCAATTTTCTGTTAAGACATTGGAATATAATCTATCTGGATGTATCCATGAATTGCACGTTGATAGCGGAAATGACATTTCTAAAATAGATCTCTGAGCAGAAAAAACTAAGTTTCGGTATATCGCCAGGAATAGAAAAGATGCAAATATGCAATTGCAGTGGCAAGTCTATTTGCTTCTGAGATCATAATCCCCGTTTAATACATGTTATCTCTGTTTTGTCAAAGTAAATGACAGGGATGTCGATATGCTTTATACAGAGACTGGTCTCAGAAACTCACGTTAAATGTTTATACTTTTATCATCATTTAAGATACGTCCCTTTTCGGGATGAGCGAAAATGTTAATTATCTTAGAAATGATATTGAGTTGAATATTTGTCAAAATAAAATTTACTTAGGTCATAGCAACGCTCAGTACCTTTCTCACTATCATTAGTGTTATCGGGTAAAGTAAACAAACATCTAATTAATTTATTTGTTTTATTAAAAATACAACCACGTTCCTGACAACAAAATCTGTAAATGTTCGCATACCAATTACGATACGTTTCTTGTTAAACTGCTTTGTTGTTTATTTCTTACAAAGAAAAGTTCAGGACAATAAATACAATACTAAACACATTATTTAAGCCTTCACCACGGCTTTTCCTGTATTTTCACCGGCAAGCATTCCAATGAAAGCATCAAAGATGTTATCAAAGCCTTCTGTTACATGTTCCCTTGTCTTCAACTGTCCACTCTTGATCCAGTCTACAAGTTGAGAGAAACCTTCTTGCCACCTGCTGTACCATTCCCAGACTAAGAATCCACGCACTGTGAGCTGTCGGAACACTAATGCTGGCTGTAAAATAGTCGCTTTTGGCATTTTTGAGACATCCTCATTGTATGAGCTGATACTACCACAAACAGCTACTCTTCCATATTTGTTCATTTGGTTCATAATGATACTGCTTATTTCCCCACCGACGTTGTCAAAGTAACAGTCCACGCCATTAGGAGCGGCTTCTTTAAGAGCTTTTGCGATGTCTACAGTTTTATAATTGAGAGCTTTGTCAAAACCGAGTTCCTTTTCTAGCCATTCCACTTTATCATCCGAACCCGCAAAACCAATTACTTTGCAACCCTTGATCTTGGCGATTTGTCCGACTAAAGATCCTACGGCTCCCGCGGCTCCGGTCACTACAACTGTTTCACCGGCTTTTGGTTTGCAGATTTCGAGGAAACCGAAATAGGCAGTTGCTCCCGGCATGCCTACCGCGCCAACTCCTAATGATGGCGAAAGACCTTTCAAATCTGGTAAGGCGTAAACGTGGTCAACGGGCCCACTTGGTACGCCATCTTTAGCGATTGTATAATCACACCAACCTTTGTGTGTTACAACTTTAGTGCCAACAGGGAACTTTGGGTCCTTACTCTCTTGTACAACTCCGACTTGGAATCCAAACTGATCGTAAGGTACCTTATTCATCATGTTGTACGCACGTTGGTATGGGTCCACACTGAGCCACTCTGTTTTAATAAGGATTTCACCATTTTTTAACGGAGGTAACTCATATTCTACTACTTCGAAGTCTTCCCGCTTGGGAACTCCTTTGAAATAGTTCTTCACGACGTATTTTCTTGCCTTCACCATGATTGGTCACTGATCGAAGTTCAACTGGAAAGAGAATATGGATTTAAAACGTATTCTTTATGACTCGCGTACTATCTTGTCAATTATCTTATCTTAAAAACAATATCTTTTGCGGTATACATCTACATTGATTAGGTATTAATTTACAAGAGTATAAAGTAAATAAAATGTTTTTCTATCACAGAAAAATGAACATAATAATTATTTCGTTACTAAATTAGTCACTTATACAGCAAAAGATTGATATTATTATTATAAATGCGATTGTTTGGATGGATGGATGGATGTTTGTTACAAAGTATCTCTGGAACGGCTCTTGATGAAATTTGACACAGATGTAAAATTTTTAATTCCGCGGACGGAGTCGCAGGCAACAACTAGTATTAGATAAATCTACTGGGACACAAGTAAACAAACACAGTTATTCGTTATATTGCTTATCGTGACGCACGCATAAAATATCTACACGGTAAAAATGAAGTATTTTGTTATAAAAAAAATCTTAATACTTTTAGGAACTTCACAATTTACCTCGCGATTGGATTAAAATTAACATTTATACGTGATAAAACTCTTAAAAAAACTAGTTGTGTACACCGGTACTTACATTTAATTAAATTTCAGTATCTAGGTAAATAGCTATGTGATTTTAAAAATCAAAGTACACAATAGACACGACCGTCTGGCTTGCCACACTGGGAGTAATGTAAAGACGAGTCATTGTCCAACATGTTTTATTGAATATCAAGTTGTCATTTTGACCTTGTAGCTTCTAGTCTAGCGTCTGTTTCCACTGCGGATACGTCGTGTATAAAAATAATATTTTATCGCTGTTATTTTCATAGAGAATGAACGGGAGACATAATGTATTTATACAAATGTTTGGGCGGTGAAAATCCACGGTAATGAAACAAAAGAACAAATACGTTATTATTCAAAAGTTTTTAGCGAATGTTGATTAAGTTATCATTTTTTTTATATAATAATTGTTTAAACTTGAAAATAAACTTTTGTGATCTTTGATGCTGGTGAACAGTAAAGAAACATTATTTTCATGTGTTTCTTATAATCTGTAGATTGCAGTGATAATGTCATTTACTTGTTACCAAAGGGAAAACATAGAAAATTAGACCAATTTATAATTTACTGGCTGTCGCACGCAACTTCGTCCGCGCGAATAAGGAAAAAATATTATCTAGCCCATGCTTCCAGACTATGTTCTACATCGATACCAAATTTCGGTGAGATACGTTCAGCCTTTCTGGAAATACCGTCAATCAAACATCCATCCATTGTTTGCATTTATACATTAAAAAAATGTCTGTGATAATATTAAAATATTTTTACTATAATTAATACTTTTATATTCAATGACAAATCATTGGCTTTATTAAAAAATATGTTAATAATTTGAAGGCCTCTTCATACGTCTCTACGCGGAAAACAGGATCAATTATTACTATTTATGTCTACAGTACTAAATAGATATTTTAACACTGTACTCTAAACATGTTGTTTATTCAATGACATGCAAAAACCTACATTAATTTTCGTTTTGAACCTGAATACATACGGTTTCAAATGTATGCACATTTTACACAATTTAAACTTTATTGACTCTCTTTTAGGTTCAAATTGTCTTGAAATGTTTTGTGAATTCGTAAGATATGTAATGCAAACAATTTAATCATGACCTAGAGGTGCCCGTGACCATTAGGTTACTCAATATTTGTGTTAAAAGATTAAGAAAGTATTTCTATAGTGGTGAACAATAATAGTTATATAATAAGTTACATAGTTGGTAATATCTTACTGATAATATGAATGCGTATGTTTAGATGGATGGATTTTTGTTTGAAGGTATCTCCAGAAACTGTCTGAACGGATCTCGATGAAATTTGGCATACATATGGAACATAGTCTGAAAGAACACATTGGCTACTAATCTTGTTTGTTTTTAATTCCGCGCAAACGGAGTCTCGGGCAACAGCTAGTTACTAGCTATATACAATATCCATATATCTACATTATTTCTTTGTAAATTTAAGAATTGATAGCACCTATAAAATTTAAATAATATTTGATTTGTGACATTTTTTAATCTGTATCTCTTACACTGACATTTCCAACTTAAAGTTACTTTGTCATACGTCCAATTTTTCTATGTAAAGTCATGTAAAGCACCATTTGTATGTTTAGAAATTTTGAATTTCAAAATTACGGCTATTTTAAAAGACAATGGCCAGTGGTGACTCACCAAGTCCTCAATACATGACGTATTCAAAATCAAGGGTCCCTTTATTGGGTGCGCTAATAGATTATGTGGATACCAGCATACATTATTTATGGACAAAATCATTCGTTGCAGCTGAACAAATGCATGTACAAACATCAAAATCTACGCTATCCATTTCTTTTATGACTTTCGTATGCTTAGTGTTAGGTTTACTTGCGAATGTCAAGATGGAAGTTGTGACTATTGATGAAACGACTTTGGAACACGATCTCCACATTGTTTTATTGAGTGAGAAATATAAATTGTATGTGGACGATGTCGATGTATCAAGTAAGTTCTGCTTACGAATTTTACCCCACTATTTCAAATCAAGAGTCTCGTCGGCTCAGGGGTCAAGCACTTGACTTGCAATCTGCAGGCTCTGGGTTCGAATCCCGCCATGTACCAATGTGTTTTTCGATTTCCGATTTATATATGCACATTTATCCGACGTTCTTGCGGTGAAAGGAAACATCGTGATGCAACCTACGTATATTTGAGAAGAAATTCAAAGATATGTGTGACGTCAACCAACTCGCACTGGGCCAGCGTGGTTGACTATGGCGTAATCACCCGTGACTTAGGGTAGGCTCCGACCTCGTCAGTGGGAATGATGATGATATAAATCATTGTCTAAAAAGTTACTTTTCTGATGAAATTACCAAAATAGTTGGGCCGCTTCTTCCTCTTGTACCGTTTACGTCTTTACCAAGTTTAGGTGATGTTAGAATAAAAGCTTAAATTTTATAAGAAATCTATTTAATTATTAGTTTATAAATTGTTTTTATTTAAGTAATAATTCTAAACATTTATTCGCAGAAATTTTGTGCTGCATTGAAGCTTCCGATACCTTATTGGTATTGATATCCTGCTTCTTGATATGCAATTCAGGATTTGCGGTAAATATTATAAAATAAGTCCAAAAAGTATGGATGGATTGTGTGAAAGAAGGTATGCGTAAAAAGGGGGTGAATTCAGATAAAACAGCTGATACAGATGTATGGGGGAGTAGTACATACTGTGAAGACCCTCCCTAGGGATAAGGACAGGTTGATGATGATCATGTCTAAATAAATACAGTAGCTTTGTTAATTGTTTATTTGATATTGAAATGTTACACTTTTACAACAGCCTTGCCCACATTTTCTCCTCCTAACATTCCTACAAAGGCGTCAAATATGTTATCAAAACCTATCGTTATATGTTCTTTTACCTTAAGTTGTCCGTTTTTGATCCAATTTATAACTTCAGGAAAAGCTTCATGCCATCTATCGGCAAATCTTGAAACAATAAAACCTTCAAGTGTAATCTGTTTGCTAACTACATATGGCTGTATAATTGTAGCTTTTGGCATTTGAGTTGGATTATCATTGTACGAACTTATGCTGCCGCAACACGCAACTCTTCCAAAACTGTTCATTTGTTTAATTATTATACTGCTTATTTCTCCACCAACATTATCAAAGTAACAATCGACGCCGTTAGGAGCTGTTTCCTTTAGAACTTTTGAAATATCTACTGTTTTATAATTAAATGCATTATCAAAACTGAATTCATCTTCTAAAATTCGTACTTTCTCGTCCGAGCCAGTAAAACCAATTACTCGACATCCTTTAATTTTAGCGATTTGTCCCACCATAGTACCTACCGCTCCAGCAGCGCTTGTTACAACCACAGTTTCTCCAACCTTAGGTTTGCAAATATCCAATAATCCAAAATAACCAGTCGCTCCTGGTCTACCGAGAGCACCAATTCCATAAGACGTTGGCAGATCTTCAAAATCTGGTAGTTTACAAGTTCTGAGTGGTTCTTCTTCATTCATATCAACTATACCATAATCACACCAACCAATGTGAGATACAATTTTAGTACCAATTGGATATTTAGAATGATTGCTTTCAATAACTATTCCGATTTGAGACGAGAATTGATCAAATGGAGGGGAAAACATAGTGTTGCGAGCTCTTAAGTATGGATCTACGCTGATCCATTCCGTTTTAACTAATACTTCACCGGATTGCAAAGATGGTAGTTCGTATTCCACTATTTCAAAATCATCCCGTTTAGGAACACCTTCAAAATGTTTCTTTACTACATACTTTCGTGCTTTTATCATTTCTTTTTATTTTATACCCAAATTCCACTGCGAATTGAACAACGACTGAAATAACAATGATACATTTATAAATGTTTAACTTAATCCAGATAAATATGTAAATGAATTTAATAAAATAATTGTATTTGCGATAAATACGATTACTCTAATCAAGTTCTGTTCAATATTTTTTGTACAGGATGATTCTTAATGGACGGATAACTTTTGATAGGTCCAAGATTTATTAGTTGTAAATATCATTCGATACTGCGGAATAAATAAATGAATGAGAGCGTCGGTGGCTCAGGGGTCAAGCACTTGACTTGCAATCTGCAGGTCCTGGGTTCGAATCCCGCTACGTAATGTGTTTTTCGATTTCCGATTTACATATGTACGTTCCGACGTTCTTGCGGCGAAGGAAAACATCGTGATGCAACCTGCACCTATCTGAGAAAAAATTAAAAGATATGTGTGAAGTCAACCAACCCACACTTGGCCAGCGTGGTTGACTAAAGCCGTCACCCGTGACTTGGGTAGGCTCCGAGCCCCTCGGTGGGGACGTATAGTGATCTGATGATAATGACTGCGGAATAAATAAAGTATTATATGCGTTGCTAATATTATCGTTCCAATTAGATACAATTATAATAATACATTTTTTACTAAAGAATTCTATTTTATCAAAATTTTGATGGCTATCATTTATTACTTTAAACGTTTTAAGTTCATGTCTATACGATTATTACAGAGGTAGATAATTCTAGATAAAAAAAATCGATATCGATAAAACAATCCTTGTAAACGTGATATCAATACATTTGTGATACAATATTATGTAACATAATTCATAGAATTATATTCAAATATGCTTTAATTTGATAATTTAAATATGTATCCATATAAAATTTACGTACGGTTTAAGTAACAAAGTATTTTCAAGAGCTATATGATTTTGTAGAACATTTTATGTGGTCCTTTTGCATATTTGTCGCTCAGCACACTGAGTAAAATTAAGTATTCGTATCCATCCATTTTAAATTTGTTGATAACATCGTAAAAAACAATTAAAATGACTCAATTAAAATTAATTTTCCCAAACATACTGTAAACAATATCGAGTGTTATAAGTTCTTTTCGCTTCTGTTCCATACTCTCGTAATATTTCTCCAGCGTCATCCTACTTGCGAGTACATGTATTTACCCTGGATGGGTGTAACGCTGCGTGGACTAGCACTACGTCAACTACCAACATGCGCTGCTCTCCTCTACACAATGTATGTCGCTAATGAAGATATCAACACGCTGTTTCTCACTTCATTCGCTTTATTATTCAGTAAGTGTTATTGAAAGTGTTTCTAGTTAACTCAATCCGTTTGTCGATTTGACGGCGTTAGTATGAACAGTGACTTCCACGTTATGCTCTGACACGTGGCATTGAAAATTGATACAATGATTTACAAAAGCGATAGAGTTGCCAAATGAGAAGAGAGAAGTAATAGGATGTGTACTACGTAACGTAAGGAAGCTGAAAATACTAGACGATTAAAAGACCTCAACCTTATCGTAGTTTATAAAATTCAACGACCTAATTTATGAGATGTGCTACGGAGACAGTTCTATAGAAAGTCTGTCGTGTTAAATTTCGAGATACGACGTTTTAGCCTGATTCCTTATAACTTACTCATATATTTTTTAATGCGAATGTTAAGATGTATGGATGTTTCTTTGAAGGCAACGGATTCGATGAATTTGGCACACATGTAGAACAGAGACTGAAAGTTTTTTTTTAAGTCACGGACGTAGTCGCGGGCGACAGCTAGTTATATCATAATTTTTAACAGTTACAGAGTTACGACTGTGGTTGGAGGTTGTAAGGTTGGTATGTCTCCGATGGGAGGCCAATGAACAAGTGAAGATATGCGGTTTGGAACAAGAAGTCAAGACTCTATGGAGTAACGAAGAGGTGCCCAGTATTGAAGTGTCCAATTTTGTTTATTAAATTTTGTGCAAAGATTCGAATGCTGAGAAATTATTAATTGATGTTCGAAAACGTATCGTTAAATTTTAATGCATGTTATTTTATTGTGAGTTTATTGGAAAAATAAACAAATTAAAATCCTTATTATACTCCCTATTATTATAATACATAATCGACCCCAAAAAAATAGCAAGAACAATTAAAATGTTTTTACTTATTCTATTTTAAATATCCAGCATTGTATAGCATTTTAATGATTGAGTTTAATTTCTCATCATCATCACCATCAGCCTATACTAGTCCACTGCTGGACATAGGCCTCTCCTATGGCACGCCACAGAGCACGATCCATGGCCACTCTCATTTAGCTCTTGCCAGCTGCCCTGCGATGATCATCGCTCCACCGAGTCTGGGGACGTCCTAAGCTACGTTTGCCGACCCGTGGTCTCCACACAAGAACTCGTCTACTCCAACTATTATCGTTTCTTCGGGTTATATGGTTCTATACTTAATAAAAATAGATGTATTTGGTTTTCATTTTAGAATAACTTTTGCCCGCAACTTTGTCTGCGCGGAATAACGAGTGCCATTTTTAAATACTGTCCGCTGACGATAACAAACACAACAAAACCTTTAACATATTTAAATCTTATCAATTTATATATCCGTACATACACATTTATATAATTAACTTAAGTTGTTATATATTTTAACTTAAGTTGTTTTTTTCATCAACTTAAATTTTGTTTTTTATTATATGTATACCGGAGTAACTGATAATTGTTAAATGCTATAATGTCGTGAGTGTGGGTTTTTGTAATTTTTTGGACTGAATATTATATACCAATCTGAATATCGGTGCCCACGATACAGGCATTGCCTAGTGTGGGCATCACTAGATTACCCAAATTAACTAAAAAAAAAGAATTAAAGAAATCGGTGTAGCCATTCACGAGTGACGCCTTGAGAAGTAGGGATTCATTTTTATAAGATTAGCTATATTATAATTAAAGCAAAAACTTTTTTCTATTATGTATATTTGTATAAAACTATTAGGAACTTTTTAAGCATATAAATAATACTTTCCTATAATAATATTATCACTAAAAATACTCGTAAATTAATAAAGAAATATACTTACTCTAAACATAATAAACATATAAAATATTGTAACGTTTACACAAAATGTAAAATCTACAGTCATAGTAATTTGCAAGATATGATTTTATATATATTGACATCGTTTTGTATTAGTATTTATGAGTTTTTATACATGACTAATTCGGTTTGACCAAATTTCGAGAGCGAGGTGTCATTCGTATAGCTCAAGAGTGTCATTCATTCTTCTTCTTACTCCATAATCAATGTGATTGGGGTTTTAAGAATATATCACCACACTGAACATTTATGTTTTGGATTCATAGGCGAGCCTGGTGGACAATTGAACTCATTGGCGAAGTCCTGAGAGTTGGATAATGTACCGATGACTCGAAATCTGCCAGGAGAATGCACAGCTGTCTTCAGTTTATTCCGCATTGCTTCTGGCCGCATCGCCCCACACCAGACCTGTTGGTGGCATTTTGAACGTATATTTCCATTGTAGAAATAATCATACAAAAAGAGAGAAAAACCTACATTTATTAAGACTATTTTTAACCGTGAAAACCCACTGTTTTTACAAGAGCATAAGTAATACAGTTTGATAGAACTATGGATACTAGAGAATCTGTATTAACTAGTAATTAAACTAAAAATGTCCAAGTTTGAAAATCAAAGATCATGTTTAAAAGGAAACCATACCTGAGCAAAATTAAGGAAAAATAATTGAGTGTGCGTGTGATTGAGACCGGGTAGAGTCTCGTCTTCTGAACCGTGTTTTTTTAGCCACTTGAGGTATGCGTGGAATGCTTGCTTCACACCACCGTTGTCAGCTATGTTTTCGCCCTAAAAAGCATGTAACATGCATCCGCGTTTAGTTTGATGAGTAAGGGGTTGCAGTCTAAATCACTATCCTGGAATCACCATTTTGGAAAGGATCGAACTGAATACTTGATTGTAAAATCTACAATACACGACTCCGACCTGTGTATTAACTCCGTCGAGTTTCATGTTGACTTCTGGAACAACGTATCTTCCGTACTGGTCAATGAGGCACTGGGCACGGCGATGGAAAGCCTCGATGGCGGGGTCCGACCACCAGCGGTGTAAATTACCCTCACAGTCGAATAGACGACCCTTGTCGTCAAAGCCATGGGTGATCTCGTGACCTGAAATTATAATTGATATAAACGTTAATTATTTTAGGCGCACTAGGATTTGGAACAAGTTGCCAATGTAAATGACGTCCGATAATACCTTTTAACAAGAGAATGATACTAAAAGTGGTCCCATTTGCTCTTGTCGCTAACACGAATTAGGATTTTAGTTTTTTTTAGGTAACAATGGATACGTACCTATAACAACACCTATACCACCATAATTAAGTGAACGTGGAAAATGACGATGATAGAAAGGCGGCTGTAAAATACCAGCTGGAAACATTATTTGGTTTTTATTTCGGCTGTAGTACGCGTTTACAACTGCCGGTGCTGTGTTCCATAATGACTTGTTTACTGGCTGTCCAATACTGTAAATAATAATTAACTGATGCTATCGCTGCTTTTTTTAAGAATAAGAAAGAGATGACAATATGTGTTTATACAGTTTTTTCGGCAGTTGAAACCAAAATCTTACCGTGATTGTTCCATTTTTGTTAAATGCTGTAATATATTCAGAATATTCTCAAAATATTTATCAGGATGTATCTTAACTTCTTTGTATCTTTCGTTCAATTCTTTTGTATTTAAAATGAAATCTGGATATCCGATTCTAAGCATCATAGAATCAACTTTATGTCCGGCTAATTTTTTTGTGCCGGAGTCTATCCAATCGGTCATGTTGAGTATCTCTCTAAAAGATTGCTGTATCTCTCTTGTCATTGTAAGTGTATCGTTCTTGCTCATTTCATCAAAATATTTCCGAACGAACATCGATCCTAAAGCCATTCCCATATTGGAGTTCACTTGTGAGATACAATTTTTCCATCTCGGCGGTGCTTCTTCACGACCGAAAAGAATATAATAGAATCTAAAATAAATCATTTATTATTCGAATTATGTTTTAATTATCTGTGATTTATGTGTTGATGTGACACTAATTGTATTAATATATAGAAACCAAAAGTCTTAATATATAAAGCATGTATTTCAAAAGGATTAGTAGTTAAATAACGCAAACATATTAAAATTAATTAATTCCCGCTATAAAAGTTAGGTGTGCTCCCAAAATGTAGATTTATCATGAAAATCTAAGAGCCTCTCTTAATGATTAGTGATTGAGTGATCAGTTGGACTTTGAATCGAAAGGTGATAAATTTAGGAAAGCGATTAGACACAATGAAGATATAAAATCAGTAGATAATAAAAGATTAAATTATGTTATATATAAAATTCTCGTGTCACAATTTTCGTTCCCATACTCCTCCGATTCTCATGAAATTTTGTGAGCATATTGAGTAGGTCTGACTGGCCAACATCTATTTTATAATCCCGCGCGAACGAAGTCGCGGGCGACAGCTAGTTATTATAAAAAAAATGCTTACTGTTGCTTTGCAGTTTGGAAACGATCATCAAGGTTATTAACCCGATGTCTCACAAATCGCCACAATAGATAATTAGCCAACGTGTCTGATTCCGTATCTTGTATTAATTTTACAAGATGCTAAAAGAATTGACATTTTAATAAAAACTTACACATCTTTTAAAATATACTGAAACTACCACTTAGTTTATTATGTCATCATCATCATCATCAGCTCACTATACGTCCCCACCGAGGGGCTCGGTGCCTACCCTAAGTTAAGCGTGATCGGACCATAGTCAACCACACTGGCCAAGTGCGGATTGGTTGACTTCACACATATCTTTGAATTTCTTCTCAGATATAGGCAGGTTGCATCACGATGTTTTCCTTCGCCGTAAGAACGTCGGATAAATGTACATATGTAAATCGGAAATAGAAAAACACATTGGTACATGGTGGGATTCGAACCCAGGACCTGCAGATTGCAAGTCAAGTGCTTGACCCCTGAGCCACCGATGCTCCTTATTATGTATAACACATAAATTATTATAAATGCGAATGTTTAGATGGATGGATGTAGTTTGAAGGTATCTTCGGTACGGCTGAACGGATCTCGATTAAATTTGGCATATACGTAGACCATAGTCTGGAAGAACACATAGGCTACTAATTATGTTTTTTTACAACTAGCCAGAGGAGTCACTGGCGACCGCTAGTAAACGGATATCCAATAAAACGTATTTTTCTCGCGACGTTCGAGTTGTTGTAAATATATATATCATGAAACAAACAGTGCGTGCTATTCTTATTTCCTTATTCTATTTTTTAACATTTTTAGTTTCTCTTTTAACTTTTTTTTATCATTTTTCAGAATTTATCTAAATCCAACCACTCTTTTCCTCCCTCCTTAATTTCCGCCATCTTTAATATTCATAAGATAAAAACATTTTTTTCTTGTATTACCAAACTTACCAACACATAAGTATGTGCAAAAAGTACAATCGTCTCATTTTTATGTATAGTTTTGTTCATAACAATGCATAAATATTTTATCCAGTCCACTTCGGGCACAAGTTTTATAAGTTTTGAAATAGGCATTCTTTTATAAATTTCCGATACATTACGCCTATCTTCTGGCGCTGATGTTATTCTGGCAAGGCTGAAAATTCAAATCTTTTACACGTTTTTTTTTATAACAGAAGGGGGCAAAAGAGCAGCGGACCACCGAGGCGTTCAACGACGCCCATAGACATCAGCAATACCAAAGGAACCGCAGATGCGTTGCCGGCCTTTGAGATGGTGATAAGCTCGCTTCTTGGAGATAATATAGAATTCCATTGGTAAAAGCATTTTTGAAATCGGTCAAATAATTTTTGAGTTTAGTTTTTACAAACATACAAAACACATATAATAAATTACCAGATTATAATATTAAGGAGTGAAGAAAAATAAATATTTACTTACCTAATCTCGAAAGCAATAAGTTTGTCAGCGCTTACTCTAACATGGTCGGGATCGCCTCCGAGAAGTTTGGCAATCGTTACCAAGTAAGTTTTATAAGCGTCTAAATATATTTTATTTGATTCTTGCAAGAAATAATCTCTAGTGGGCAAACCTATTTACGTAACAGAAGTAAATTAGAATCATCTAAACAAAATATAAAACTTTATTTAATTGTATCCTTACCTAAACTAGTTTGATCGAATTGTATAACAAATTCGTCTGAATTTTTAATATCTGGTCCAACCCATTCTGATATTAAAATGTCATTATTATAAACTCGCAGTTTCGCCATCAGTTCTAACCAATCGAAACTACTACTGTTCCATTGTTGGTTTAATATCGGCCACCCACCAAGTAAGTTGAGTAAATCCAGCAATGGTTGATGACCACGTTTCTCCAAAATTTCATGGTTCATACAAGACGCAAATAAATATCTAGATTTTAATGCCGCATCGCCGTTCGCGGGATCATTTAACATTGTTATTGTTGGTGCTCGTGTTTTCTTTTCAATCTTTCCATGACTATGTTTCTTTTTAACTCTTGTGTAATACATCTGTAGTTTTCTACCTACGTAAGGCCTTTTAGAGTTTTGATATGTAGACCGTTTTCTTTTATCATATTTAGGTTTTTTGTCTTTATTCGACTTTTGTTTATCAATATATGAATCTTCCTTTGATATAATATTGTTCGTTAGGTAACTATGCATTCCGTATTTCATTTTCCAACCAGGTCCAGTTATTTGTTTAGGTCTATGGTCCAAGTATCGACGGATCCGACTAATAATATCCGAATTATCTTTATAAGGTTCATATAATTTCTTTACTTTTTTATTATTAGCACAATCATTAATAAATTTATCGTGACCTTTAAAAAACCTCCCTCTTCTCGGTCTACTGAACAGATTATTTTGTTTGTCAGAACATTTGTGTGGGTTTGCTTGTGTCAAAAAGTTCTCACTGAGATCCAAATGTTCTCCTGGATACGAACTTTTAAGGTTTTCAGAACTCTTAAATTCTAATAAATCTTTAAGCACTGTATCTAAATTTTCTCTTAGCATTTCAAAAGTATCGTATCTAAAAGTAAAATTAATTATAATTTTTTTGATGCAAATTTGCAAAAAAATTTGCATAAAAAGATGGATCACGCTGTATACCAATAGATATGAATATAAAAGGTGGAACGATGAGGGAAGATCGCGAAAAGAGAAATCACGAATTAGGAATACAGAAGGGGGCAAATGAGCAGCGGGCATACCGAGGCGTTCAACGTCGCCCATGGATATCAGCAATACCTATGGAACCGCAGATGCGTTGGCGGCCATTGAGATGGTGATGGTTTATATAGGATTATATAAGGGTTAAAGTCACGAATGTAATAATCATATTATGAATGACATAAACAAAATTGTCTTACCCTGCTTTATCAGCTGGTATAGGATTTAGAGATGCCCAATTACCGCAAGCGTATTGATAGAAATCGTGACACGGGTCCGCTTCGGCGTCCATATATCGTTTCATTATAATCGCTTGTGTTTTTCTTATTGTCAATCGATCACCTTCACCTTTCCAGAAGGCATGAATACCTCACACACAAAAATACTTATGCTAATTTTAATTTCCCATTGAATTATAATAAGCAATTAATATAGCATTAGTTTGGAACAGCTAGAGTTAGCAATTGATTTTAGTAAAGAGAAAGCAGAAAGCTATACTGTGGGTGGTCTATCAGCAGTGGAGTAAGGGTGGAGTAAGACAGAATGCTGATGATGATACATTGATATAGGTTTGGTATTTTTTACGTTACGATATCCGAAGAGAATCGAGTTTGCTGAATATTAAAGTAAAGCATGAAAAGCTAGATACCCGTATGGGATTTGGAAGGCTTGTATAAATGCGCAGAGGAACCCATTTCACCTTCTTCTAACTCTGGCTGTCTTCTCACTTGTTCCACCACGTCGTCCAGTGGTCCTCTGTCTACGTATTGCTCTTGGAATATCGCACTGGATAAAAACAAGCATATTATTACGCTGTTATAGAAAATACTATTAATTAAGAACAAACAGCGATCATAATACGATGAAGGAGGACTAATGTTAATTTATAAATGACAAGCTGTCGCCCGCGAGTCCGTCCGCGCGGAATAAAAAAAACCTAATATTCTGTGTTCTAGACTATGCTCTTGATATATGCCAAATTTCAGCGTGATCCGTTCAACCGTTCCGAAGAAACCTTCAAACAAACACACATCCATCCATCTAAACATTGGCAACAAAACTTGAAAGTATTATCGATCTTTAACAATGTGCACAAAACAAGCATATTTAAATGTTTAACAATTTTATTATACTATATAGGTAATTTAAATAAAAAAAAATTACTTTTTTTCATGATTCTTGTTGCTGTCTCCATTTTCAAGCTCGGCATCTTCACTATAATCGTCGCTATAATCATCATTATATTCATCCCCTGCACTGCTTTTTGTAGTATGACTCTGTCTACTAAAATAAAACATATTTAACTCTCGAAACGTATCATTAATTGCAGGATGTTATATGTTCTCTACTTACTCATAGTCCTTAGAAGTAAAATGACTTTTTCGCTTAACACGATTTGGGAGATCGTATTGATTGTCCGCAATCCCCCAAATGAAACTGTCACTTGTCACATTAGCATTGTAAACATCTCTTTTAGATATCCTTTGCGCTAACATTATCTCATCTTCAGGCAAAAAAGATGTCCTAAAACCTTCAAAAACATCCCTTTCATCCGGATCTATACCTTCTAGTTTTGTATAAGTCGCAGGTATGTTTTTAACTAAAAATTGATCTGAAGGATCGTCTAATGCGTCGATTGGAGTTTTTATAATCAAGTATACGATGGCTAAAAGTGTAACAAAAGATAGTATACAAATAAAACGACAGAAATCTGCACTTTTCGGCCTTACTGAAACCTGAAATTGGTTTTGTGTGCCGACTCGCGTCATGGCAGTAGCCTACTGACAGACTGACAGCATCGCGTCACCGTACCACATTTGTAACTGGAATATCGGCCAGTTCAAACTGACCGCGATGTACTTTAACTAAATAATTGCCTTTGTACATTTGACCTTGGAGTCGTATTGAAATGACCAGCGCATTAAATAAGAACTGTTTTTACCGAATTTCGTAATCGTTGTGGAGGACAAAAATCTGGTGCTGCGAACCCACATAGAGGGGAATAAAAACAGGGAGATGATGACGTAGACTTTTGAAATTGATGACCACCAATTTCCCGGTATAAATCACTGACCTCTACAGAAATATCATAGTACTTATTTCTAAAGATCAGTGTATACTGGTCAGAGGTATGACCGTAAGATTGTAACTGGCTGATTTTACAATAATAAAAAGGCAGACAGTTCAAAAATACTGTATCAAGGGACGACAGATGAAGTGACATTAAAAAAATATATACAAAAGTATTATAGACTTAATGACTCCGATCATTTAAAGTAATTACAAAAATGTCCTTCGTAGAAATAGTATCAAAGATCAATGCCATTAATGAATCTATTTTAGACGACTTGTGCTGTGGTTTGTAAATTGTACAACTAACCGTAGGTTTCCGAGACTAAAATATACCTTTTGCTTCACACTTAGTTGTCATAAGAAATTTAAAATACAACGCAAAAGAGAAAATCTATTTTTATCAACAGGGATACAAGTTCAAAGGAAGTAGACGTTTTATTTATTCTATACACCTTAAATCGGGTAACAAAAGAGAGATTTAGATCCGACGCCATTCTAAACTTGTTCGCTGTTAATATGGCGAACATTTTGCATAACGTAAAGAATTGTACTCGTATATTATTTACTATGACAAAGTACATATATGTATATAGTATGTCCGTAATCGTAAAAACCAAAAGCCCTGTCTTTTTTGTCAAAGATAAGGATTTATTCACAGATTTTAGTCTCAGAAACCGACAGGTTAAACTTTAATTTGAAGAAACACTTATTCAAACTGTAATGATAAAATATTGTGCAATTTTAGAGTACGTTAATGAGGATATTGAAGAGTTTGATAATCATTTAGAAGTGACAAAGAGCTGGTTTGAAAGAATATCATTTGTTAACAAGAAGCTGTATTTACTGGCTCTTTTGGAAGACGTGCGAAGTGCATGGACATTATCATTGCTATTGAAGTCCATATGGAATTGTCGACCAAAAGATTCTGTGTTTTCTATAAGCAGGTATATATCTAATTATTTTTTTTATCTCCCAGCCCTATAACAAAGGGTGAATCTAATATAAGGAGGAGCTTGACCACGATCCCACCTGGTGTTAGTGGAGATTTGGTAATCATTTAATGAATACGGTCTTCCGTATATTAGGGTTGTCAATTTCTTATTTTTCGTATCACATATATTCCTAGTGTCCTCAAGAATCGTACCAACACGCGTCACCACGAGTTTCTGAGAGGAAAATACCTATTTAAAACATATTGCTATCTGTTTTGTTAAATATAATGGCAGCGATGACGATATGTTTTTATACGTATATTTTCGTCTCAGAAACCAACGGTCAATGCGTTAATGATTCTGTTTCGTAGACGTAAAGTTCTGAGCAGCTATGACCAGGCACCATTCGATCACAACAGAACTGCTTTGCCTGTGTCCATTCTTACACAAGTTATGACGGATGATAGAAAATGGTTTGTTTCGTTAGAACCAGTAAGTTACTATTCTTTTAAATCTTCATACTTAAATCCTGAATATTTTTTTTGTTTTTACCAGTAGTAAATAGTTTAATCAGTCCAATTTAATATCATTATTTATCGTCGATCATCTCAGATCAGTCAGATACGATGTTGACGAAATGATACAGTACTTTCTTTATAAGTTGGCTAAATAGCATGTTGCAAACTGAATTCCCCGAAATTCCGAAGCGACCGCTGCCCATAGACCTGCGCAATTCTAGCTGTGTTGCCTACCTTTATATAAGATGTACAAGAATATTTTAATTTAGAAGAATCGAGAAAGGAATGTTGTGTTTGGTTTAATCCGTGAACTCTAACTACGCATTCTTGATACTTGTGTAACGACTGTTTTATCCAATAACATTGTATTTTCAAAGGAAGCTCAAGCGCTTGTATTATTGGAATTAGTGTCAGTGGCGGGAGGTCCCGTGGTATGGCAAGTATACGCTCGGGCGCAGAAAATCTACGACCGCTACCGTGAATACGAAATAGATAACCTCAAGGAATCTATGGTGGTTGCGGAATCTGTGCATCATGGCAAAACATCGCATCATGCAGATCTAGCTCATCATATGGTCTGATTTTTTTAAATTCTTAAATGTCAATTTTATTGTTACTGGCCATATAGATCATATTCCAATTTAGGTGGTAATTCTTCAACCAAATGGTACGAGTTTTTTTATTTTTTTATTCCGGTTTTTACCAGAAGTCAGCAGTACCTGTAAATTATGTATTTTGCTTTGAAGAAATAAGCCTTAACCCGCATCCCGCTTCACCTAAAATAGTGTTCTGCGCAGCGACTCGTGTGAAGTTATGAGCCACTAAGACATCTGAAATATTTATACTTATATTTTTCTATAGGGTTAAGTCTAATATAAAAAATTATTTATTGGTAACACAGAAAAAAGATCCACTTCGTCGCAAAAACGGCGATTCACTTGGTGCGATTAAAGATGTGGCAACCGGTGAAGGGTCCAGCGGTAAGGCGCAAAAAAAGGTAACATTGAATCTCGAAAAGTACAAAACAATTGTAGTTTATGTTACATATTGATATTTGTTTTTTTTTATTTCTTCTTCATTACCACGTTAATACAATCCCTACAGACACGCAAATTGGGTGTAAAAATATATATCACATTTTATAAAGCTTCACAACAAATCCCTTTAGTGCGTTTATTGTCACATATAACGCGCACGCTAACAACATCTGCTTTCTCACCTTTGTAATACAAAACATAGGTACTTTAACTTCCCCTGTCGGTGGACCACTTCCTGAAAAAATAACTCGTTCGCAGACAACAATTGTAGGTTGCTTTCACTTGATTTTTATTTATTTTGGAATACGCGATTGTTACATTTACCGACTTTCATCGTTTCAAGCCGGACAACAAGTTCATAGAATTAACGCTTTAAATGTAGGATACCGCCAGCGAACCGTACTGTACATTCTACGTACAATTATTGGTAACTTTAGAATTTCATAACAGTCTTACGATAAATACGTCACAAAACACGTCATAATCGAGCAGAAGATTACGTCACGAATGCGGTCAAGGTGTTATTCAATGATCAATAAAACGTATCACCTCAGAAACATTGTAAGGTGAATGTAATAGAAGACGAGAGATAGATTTTTTCCCGGACTGACATTTCAATTTGCCCGAGAAAGCAGATCGTTGGTTACAAAGACAAAAATGTTATATCTTTGGCAAAACAGGGATAACAGTATGACAACAACATTTAAACAGAGATTTTAGTCTCAAAAACCCACCAATGTACTATAAAAGGCGCTCTTGATCTTACTGGATATGAAGGCTGTCAAGTTATTAGGTTATCCAGATGTACAAATACAATACTTGTTCATACAACTTTGATTCATAAGATCCTTGTTTTTCAGTTAGATGAATGTATGGTAATTTGGAACGGTACTATTAAGTTGATTCGAGATAGCTTTAAATTGGAAGAAATAGAAACGACTTTTAATGACGGGACAAAGAAGAGAATTTGGAAAGTAGACAGACCAATGCCTGAGGCTATGGAGACGGTTGATTTTGTACGTCACTATAAAATTATATCCTGTCAGTCATGATTCGCCCACTGCTGGGCATAGGCCTCCCCCAAAGATCGCCACGATGACCGGTCTTGTGCCACCTGCATCTAGGACGCTCCCGCAATCTTGACCAGGTCATCGGTCCATCTTGAGGGAGGCCTGCCCACGCTGCGTCGACCTGTCCGTGGCCGCCACTCTCTGCGGCCCATCGCCACTTAAGATTTGCAATTCTTTAAATTATAATATATAAATATCTCAAATTATTTTTACAAAAGTTTTCTTTTTTTTCCAGCTGCAATTGCTACCATCTGCTATTGGAAAATGTATTCTGTCATATCTATCTTCACCGCAGTTAGTTGAATGTTCTAAAGTAAATAAGTATTGGGCATATCTTATTGATGAACTGAAAGCAGAAATCGTAGCAAGACAGAAAATTCAAGTGGAGTTGGAAAAATTGCGAGTAATGTTCCTTTTATATATACACCTCTTCGTTGTCATTTCATGTCTTCATGGAGGGATTTGGGGCTTACCCAAGTTAGGGGAGACTAGGCCATAGTTAACCACGCAGGCTTAGAACGAGTTCAGACGGGGCCGCGGACGAGAGCGAAAGCGTGCCCGTGGTCCCGTCCCGATGCGTTGGAGGAACAGAGAGGTTTAGTGGGTATGCCTCCGCTATGGAGGAGAATCCCACATAACTACCGCATCCCCCCCGGGGCGCGGAGTATGCATAAAGCATTACTCTCTGAAAAAAAGGCTTAGAACGAGTTGATTGGCATACATAACTTTGTACAACTATAGCTTAATTACGACGATGCCCATAGTCGAAATACTTTAACTCTGTATTATCGAAATCCGGTATCAAAATTCCATTGTATTTTTTTAATAATCCATCATTTCTATGGACATTTTATTTGTTGAATTTGCAATATGTTATACTTATTATTAAAAAGTTTTAAAAAACGCTTCGTTAGCTACATATATGAATGTATACATTCGTATTTCAAGGAAATAATGTTGCGTCACAACGAAAGCGATGACACATTGGAACAATCAGGGTTCCAAATAGACCACTTCAGTTCGCAGCCACCAAGCCTAGTGCCCAATACTTCAGTGAAAACGAGACATGTGCTACCCAGTATACGCGCCAGTCAGAAGTCCGGTCATTTCTCTTTTAGGCACTTGAAAGAGAAGATGAATAAACCTCGCAAATATGTCGTAAGATGGAATTAATTTTAATGCTTAAGGAATGTACGCTGTAAATGATTTTTACCTTGTAGTATTTATTCAATTGAATTTTAATTTAGGCTCCAAAACCTATAAGTAACATGGCTGAGCTGTACGAACGGTTAGAAAGGCGCGGTGCAGCCGATGAGAATATATGGAAATGGTGTAAAAATGTAACCAAACAATATAAAGAATCGAAGTCAAAAGAGGTAACGATTTAAATGGTACAGTAAAAGCTTACAAAGTAGCTAAGCAAATTATTGTTGTCAAAAGTAAAGTTTATCCGGCTCGGGGGATCAAGACTTCGCTTTTTAGGTTCTAAGATGTCAAACAGAGGTCAATTAATAAGCTTAATGATTGGGAGATGAAAAGTTGATTTTGCAATATATTAACAGTTAAATACTTTACAGGAAGAGGACGAGAGAGACGAGATGCCAATGGGCCTTAATCATTTTCCATGTCCTATGTTAAATGAAACTATCTCAGTACCGCTTCGTAAGCCGATTGTCAAAGATCCTGCTGCTATCAAAATTCCAAACAAGTAATTCTAAACTGTGGTTCAATAACGTTTTAGCTTAAACATACTCGTATCTCGCGCGCTTATATCGAACGCTGATGTTAGACATTACCAGAATTCATAATCAAAGTATTAGTTTTATGCGTAGAGTTAGGCGATCGTGATAAATGAATCACAAAGTAATTATACTGGAAGCAGGATGATACACATTTAAGGGTACAACACACTCTTTTATAACCACGTTGTCGCCTATAATCAAATACCGGTGGTCAAAGGGTTAAAACAAGAGAACTATACGTACTAATTGTATATTTTGGAGTAAGAAATTATTAGTTTTACATTAAACAACTTAGTTTTTTAATATAAATATTATTGTATGTCGTACATATTTCAAACTTGTTTTGAACAGATCAACTACTTTTAAAATAAAACTAACCGAAGACGTGGACATGACGAAGGATCAAGACAGCAAACGTTTCAGTTTATGGAGCAAAGACTTTTCAAGTTTGTATCCAGCATCGAAAATCGCAACTTATCAATCTCCTATTTAAATATTTTGTTAAATCGTATTGTTTTGTATGTCCCAAAAACATAACTATTGATTTATGTTTTGCTTCTATTCTATAATTAATTCTTTAATAATAAATTTGAATTTGTAATAACTCATAATAGTGATTATTTATTACCTCTGGTTAGTTCTCAAAACGATATTAACTCATATTTAAGAGCCCAGGAGTGTGCCAGGACTACATCTAAAGATAGCGAGTTGAAGTTGTTTCCTAGTCATGCGTATAACAAACCGTAATGTTTTTAGTCTTTAACAATTCGTGAGGCATGTTTGCTCTGTGACACAATGTATCTGTCAACTTTTGCTGTCAAACGGTGGTGACATTTTCAGATGAATTATTTTCTAGAAAGAAAAATAAATAGGGCTACAGAGATTCACAGTGTAGGCGTAGTATCTAAATAATAACGGGCAGGCGCGAGTCTTAAATTATGCACATAGTGATTATTTTATTTTAAGTAAGAGTAGAATAATAATAATAAAAATGAGTAAGCATATGTATTCGACTGCTAACCTTACTGACAAGGAATTAAAAGAGCAGGGAAATAGATTATTCAGTTTACGAAAATTCGAAGATGCTATGAACTGCTACACGAAGGCTATTGTGAGTGTTGTTTATTGTTTGTGTTGTGGATCCTAAAACTGGTACGCTACAACGCATTTCAACGTTTCAGATCAAAAACCCATCAGTGGCCACATATTTCACGAATCGTGCACTATGTCACTTGAAAATGAAAAGATGGGAGTCGACATGCAACGACTGTCGCCGTGCTCTTGATATTGACACCAACCAGGTCAAGGGACATTTTTTCCTTGGTCAGGCATTGGTTGAACTTGATTGCTATGATGAGGCTATAAAACATCTTCATCGTGGTAAGTGTTGTTAATAAATTACAAATATTATTACTAAGTGATGCTCTTAATATGATTTTAATATGTATATTTGGCTTCTTATGTTATTGGTAGCAAATAACATATCTGGTTGCCACTAGTTTGAGGTACTATGCTAAATAATCAATCTACTTCACACCAGTATTCTATAATGTTCACATGTCATGCAATAGTTTTTTTGGTAGTCTGTTGCTGTTTTATTTGCTGTTACTTCCAAATATAAATAACAAAATTTTTACTATCAAAATTTATAGTTATTGCAATTACAGCTTACTAAAAGTAAAGTAAGATTCTTGTGAAAGTTGCTTGATATAGAACATATTTGTATCAACAGTGTAAACACTGAAATTACCAAATAAATTCATAGACAACAAATGACATTGTATGTTAGTAAAATGTGTATTAATTTTGGATTTCTATTGAATTTGATAGTTGTTTCATATTTATTATCATCGAACCTAAGCTTAGTTGACGATGTTTACTTCATTCCCATTGAAAACTTATTATAGTTCTTTTCAAATATTTTGGTGGCCGAAGACATAGGGGTGTTGCACAGTGCTCTACCCCTCGCATTCTGCTATGCCCTTCTACATCTAAAATTGAATATCATTGACACATTTCATAACATCATTGACAGAATTTGCATAGAAAATGTGCAGTGGGTTAATGGGCATAAAGTACACCAAGAAATCTTAGTTTCAAAATTATAAAAGTACAAGTTGCAAGCTTATACTATTTAAAGACTTTAATATTATATTAGAAGAAAGGAGATTTATGTTTGACGTAAATGTAAATGATGTCTTAAGCATCTGATGTCACTGACAAGTGGAGAAACCTTTGACTTTTTCAATACAATATAGCAAAGCTTGTTATCCAATTAAAAATAAAATATCATTATTACATTGTATTAATTTCCATCTTACATAACATTCAGAACTGTTCTTATATATTGAGTTGTAAAAATAAATGTCTATTTTATTTTTCGGGTAGGCAAAAGCGTGTAGTTTTTTTTATCTACATTCTGCAAACAGTAAAATTATGTACAACTCTATATATATAAAAGAAAGTTGTGTTAGTTACACTATTTATAACTCAAGAACGCCTTTACCCATATGGTGGAAAATTGGTGAGGAGGTAGCTTAGACGCAGGACATGGACATAGGATACTATTTATTCATTTTTTTTTAATTTTCTTATCGAATTTATGCCTTGAAGAGCGGCTTTTTATTTAACTTACTAATATTATAAATGCGAATGTTTAGATGGATGTGATGTGGATGGATGGGCTGGCTACACTAATTAAGTTTTTTTTATATATCCACGTGGAACAGCGACAGCTAGTTTCTTATAAAATAAAGAACATTGTGGAAAACTGACAATTATTCTTAGCTGCAAATAAGCTATTACTCTTTAAGTTGACCAATGAATACTATATATCATAGAAAAGTTTAATATTCAGCATTGTTAGGTGTTGTTAAGTATAAAAGGTGCAAAAATCACGTTAAAATGTAGGCGACAGAATTAGATGACATAACAGTGCAAATCTATTACTATCTAAGTAACATACATAATCTATTAATAGACATAAGGTAAACTAAATAGTATGTATACTCTATGATGTAATATGCAATATTAGCATTTCTCTCAAAAAATCTTTTTTTTATTCATTCAGAAGATTTCGTCTATGGGTCACGGAACAACATTGCATTTAGTTCCAAGTTCGAATGTTTTTTTTATCATAGACAAAACTTATTTTTCTTAAGGTGTTGCATTAAAATTATATTTAAGTAGCAGTTGCCTGCGATATCGTCCGCTCGGAATAAAAAACCTTATACATATAGCTTATGTGTATTTCAAATTGGTTCAGTAGTTTTGGAACCTATTCAATGTAAACAAACAAATAATATTTTTTTAATTGCTTGTATGGATAATGAAATGTTTTCTCTTTCAGCCAATGACTTAGCTAAAGAACAGAAGTTGAACTTTGGGGATGACATAGCAGCACAGCTTCGTATAGCAAGAAAAAAGAGATGGAACGTTCAAGAGGAGAAGAGGATATCACAAGAGATTGAATTGCAGACTTATTTGAATAGGTATGAACTTTTTAAAAATAAAAAAAATCCATTTCTTTTGATTTCTTTCTATTGAATTTTCTATATTACTATACATAAATTATAAAGTAATGACTTTATAAAAAGGCTAACTAAAAGCAAAAAAAATGTTCGAATATTTTTTAAATTCATATTTGAAATTATTTAAAATTGCATTGTATTAGTTAAAAAAAAAGTAAAAAGTTTAGAATTTTTTTTACGTTTTAGCCATTTTTAATATTTAATGTAAGTTTAAAAAACATAATTTTGTAATGTTATTTTTTTTTAATTTTTATTTGTACGTTATCAGGTTAATAAATGAGGACATGCAGCGTAGAATAGAATCAATAAAAGTAGAAAACCCAAATGAAGAAGAGGCTAATGCTAAAATTGCTAAAGTTGAAGAAGAATGCGTAAGTATATATGAAATTATTTTAAACTAGCTGTCGCCCGCGACTCCGTTCGCGTAGATATATAAAACTTAATTAGTGTAGCCCACCCATCCATCCATCCACATCACATCCATCTAAACATTCGCATTTATAATATTAGTAAGTTAAATAAAAAGCAACTCTTCAAGGCATAAATTCGAAAAAAAAAAGAACAAATAGTATCCTATGTCCGTCTCGTGGCTCTAAGCTACCTCCTCACCAATTTTCAGGCATATCAGTAAAGCCGTTCTTGAGTTATAAATAGTGTAACTAACACGACTTTCTTTTATATATATAGATTGATTATATCAATGTCAAAATATGTACGTTTAGATAATAGTAAACTAGATGTCGCCCGCGACATCTTCCGAAAAAAAAACTTTGTAGTCTATGTGTTCTTCCAGGCTATTCAACATCTATGCCAAATTTCAGCGAGATCCATGCAGCCTTACTGCAGATTACTTCTAACAAACATCTATCCCTCTAAACATTCGCATTTATATTAATAATTATGACCATTTATAATTAAAACTATATAAAAAAATTGTAGTGTCCAAGGTGCTTATGAAATGTTCCAGTCTATTTTCCTATCTTAAAACTTTGATCTGATTATTGTATAGGTATTTTAATATTTTAATAAGATCACCTAGAAGAATGTTATACAGGGTGTTTTATCATAAATACTTCTTAAGAAGGTAATGATAATCATCTTCTTGGTATTTTAATTGGCTGTAAGTTGATTAAAATATAATAATGACATTAAAATATTAAATACTACATTAAAGTTAAAATAAATGCTAATGTTTGGATGGATGGATTATTTGAAGGTATCTCCAGAACGGCTGAATGGATCTCGATGGTATTTGGTATACATATAGAATGCAGCCCGGAAGAAATAATAGGCTACAATTTATGTTTTTTTTTAATACTTCGCGGACGGAATCGCTGGCGACAGCTACTAAGATTGTAAATTATTATCTTTCACTAGTTGTCGCCCGCGATTCCGCGTGGAATTAAAAAATAATTTAATGAGTGACCCATGTATTATTTTAGACTATGTTCTACATCTGTGCCAAATTTCATCAAGATCCGTTGACCTGTTACGGAGATACCTTCTGCAAAATCCATACATCTAAACTTTCGCATTTATAATATTAGTAATATAATTAAACGTGCAATGAATTTTGATGCTAGTATTAAAATATTTTGTCTTGCTTTTTCTTTTATTGTGTTATATATTTTTGTTTCAGAATAACTACAGTAGTGAATTAAATAATTTATTTTCTAAAATGGATGAAAGGCGAAGGGTAAGTTTAGTTAATAATAGTTCAGTTAATAATTATAATAATAGTTTGGTTAACAATAATAGTTCAGTTAATAATTATAATAATAGTTTAGTTAATAAAAGTCAGAATAATAATTTGATAATAAATAGTGTGTAATTGATTTTCAATAGGATTAAGACTATTTAGTGTACAGGATGTTCATAAATTAATTTTCAATTAATTCAATATTTTAGTCTTTTGTATATTCTGTATTTATACTATTTTTTTTAATATAATTTTAGAAACGGGATGTGCCAGATTATTTGTGTGGTAAAATCAGTTTTGAGATTCTCAACGAACCGGTTATAACTCCGAGCGGAATTACATATGAGAAGAAAGATATAGAAGAACATCTTGAGGTTTGTTACTTTACAATTAAAGATATACTAGCTGCCGTCCGTGACTGCGTCTGGAATTAAAAAAAAAACTGATTTAGTAGTCTATATGCCAGACTATGTTCTACATGTATGCAAATTTTTTGCGAGATCCATACAGCTTGTGTAGATACCTTCTGACTAACATTTATCCATACATCCAAACATGAGCATTTATAATATTAGTAAGACTACAGTGTGCAACTCTACTTGTGAAACTTCTGTCCTAAATCTATAATCCTGTTTCATAAAATCCATAAACAATTTTTCTGTGTGTTACTAATTTTACTTACCTTTCCAGAGGGTCGGTCACTTCGACCCGGTGACGCGAGTGAAGTTAACAGCAGACCAACTAATACCTAACTTCACGATGAAGGAAGTTGTCGATGCTTTCCTGCAGGAGAACGAGTGGGCGCTCGATTACTAATCGATTTATTGTATCGATTATAATTGTGACGATGTAACAATTGACGATGTATCGATTAATTGTAACGAGATATTTTAAGCGATTGGTCTTTCGTCGATTATAATTTTATCGGTTATTGTCCACCCTGTATATAATCTTTTAGGAATCGATTCAATGGATTCTTTCGTAGGTATAAAGAATGGATAACATCCATTTATAGTAAATATAATATTGATTTTAGTTTTTTTATACACACTGTATTTTAATTTTTTCTCTTATAGCATCTATCGAGAATTTTGGTAACTAAACATAAATAATATTTTTAATCTATAAACAATCATCAGCTCGTTATCGTCCCCACTGAGGGGCTAAGAGCCTACACTAAGGTGACTAGGCCATAGTCAACACTGGTCCAGTCTTTTTGACTATACGTCTTTGAATATCTTCACAGATATATGCAGCATCTCATTGTTTTCCTACATTTTTAGAACCTCGGATAAATGTACATATTTAAATCGAATATTGAAAAAGACATTGGTACATCGCGGGATTCGAACCCAAGACTACAAGTAAACCATTGGGAACCAAGGGAAAATATTTTCTTTCTGTCCATCCTCTTCTCCGTCGATTAAAGGTAGGGAACGCATATGCAATTACGTATGTCTATGGGTAACGGTCACTTCGCTATTTCAGCGAATTCAAGTGGTCGCTCGCTCGTTTGCCTCATTATATAAAAAAAAACCCCTGAACCACTGATGCTCTAATAAACAATATATTTTCAAACATATTTAATTAGTATTCTTTATATATACTTATGTAATAATACATAACAAAAATTATTAATCCATTCTATATATCTATGATTATTAGATTTATAATCTATATTATATGCTATTTAAGTTACTAATATGTTTTTTTTCTGCTCAGTCGCAAATTTAAATATCTAAAAACATTTGAAGTTATATAAGTGAGAGTAAAAAAACTGAAGTATTTTTCTCACATATAGAGTTTAGTCTCTTACCTAAGTTTCTCGATTATGGAGGTTTCTCACTTATCTAGGTACTTTCTAGATATACACGTAGGAAGTTGTTTTACGTAAGGCTGTTAGAATATTATATAAGCGACCCTCAAATATCTTAACGTCTGACTTGATTTTTTAAATTAAAAAAAAAAAATTAGGAACAATAAAAGCATAAATGGATCTTAAAATCTAAAATTGTTTTTGTTATTGTATTCCTGCTTCTTTATTTACAGGCATTTTTTTTCATGTTTATGCAAAAAAACAACTCTACCAATTGTAGAGTTTAAGTTAAAAAAACAAGTTTTTTTCTTATTGTATTTCATCAGTAAAATCTTAATATAGATATTAAAATAATCGTCAAACATAAGTCTTTAGGAATTTTATAATAAATGTACGATTTTTTATATTTTCATCATACTGTATGTGTAAAAATACTTTTGGTATATAACTATAATTGTGATCCATTAATACCCTGCTTTACTAAGTTTTAGGGATTTCTAGATTAATAAGATTAGAAATAAAATTAATTTAAGAAAAAAAAAACTAGTTTGTCGAGTCAAGTCATTTGGTAGAAATCAAACTACTTTTAGGTAATATTTAAAAATTTATGTGATTTATGTAATCATTTTTTTAGATTTACACGCATTTAATTTTATTTTGACGGAAAATTTTTAAATTTATCATCATCATCATCAGCTCACTATACGTCCCCACCGAGGGGCTCGGAGCCTACCCTAAGTTAAGGGTGATTGGGCCATAGTCAACCACGCTGGCCAACTGCGGGTTGGTTGACTTCACACATATCTTTGAATTTCTTCTCAGATATGTGCAGCATCACGATGTTTTCCTTCACCGTAAGAATTTCGGATAAATGTACATATGTAAATCGGAAATCGAAAAACACATTGGTACATGGCGGGATTCGAACCCAGGACCTGCAGATTGCAATTCAAGTGCTTGACCACTGAGCCATCGACGCTCTCCCCTAAATTTATAACTTTACGGAAATTTTATAACAATATTGTACAATGTTATAAAATTATTGTATAATATTAACAATATTATTGTAAATATTGTACATAATAATACTGAAATCTCAAGACATTTGGGTTAGAATTTTTTTTTTGTAATAAAGAATGAAAATATTAATCTAACTGCGATAAATATACTTTTGAACTGTAAAATTGTTTATAAAATCCATTTAATACCCATTTTTTAAATAAATATTAATTTTAAATTTCTGTTTAAGATGCGTGTATTTCTAAGAAAAAAATTTGACAATGTACTAAAATATAAGGTAATTTACTTTATTAATATATGTATTGTAATACGTTTAAAGTATAAAAAATAAATTTTGCATGTAATCTTTATATATATAATTCTTCTGTGAGTGTGTATGTCACTGAACTTCTCTTAAACGACTGGACCGATTTTGATGAAATATTTTGTGTGTTCAAGGGGATCTGGGAATGGTTTAGATTCACAATTTTCATCAAATATTAACTTCATATTAATTTATTCTAATTAAAGACATGTAGACAGGACAACGTCTGTCGGGTCCGCTAGTAGTATATATGTTTAAAAATTAAATTTTGATTTTACGTCATAAATATCTGAGACTCCATTTGTAATGTAGAATTATTGTCATAAAAAAGTATACCTTGCCTTTTTCATCTGTGGCCTAATTGACCTGACAATCTTTCAAATATCTGCAAACAATAAAAATACATAACGTCAAATTTAGTTTTATTTATGGTAACACCAATTTCATTTCATGTAGGTAACCCTATTTAAAAAAATAAAAGATTATCTGTAGTTATAAATACGTAAAAATCGTTGAAATCTTTGGTTCTTGTCTATTTAAATCTGACGAAAACAGGCGAAAAAAACGTAGTGGAAAAATAAAAGAAAGGTTGGTTTGTCATGACTTAAGAGTTACAGCTATTATTGTTAACCCGAAATCGACGTGCATGTATGAGATGTATGAAAGTGGATGTGAGCAAACAGGTGTGTAAGGACCACCTCATGTTTGTCTACTCCTCTTGGTTATGGTTGATTTGTTCTATAGATAAGAAAAAAACCCCGAACAAAAGTATCGAACTTGCTTCGAAAATACTACGCTAAATAACCGATAGTCTGACACGTGTTATTGCAGTTGACAATGCGCTTGCTAAGCTGGTTTCCTGTGGGGCCGCAGCTGAGGAGCGAAAGCGTGCCCGTGGCCCCGTCCCGATGCGTTGGAGGAACAGAGAGGTTTAGTGGGTATGCCTCCGTTATGGAGGAGAATCCCACATAACTACCGCGTCCACCCCGGGGCGCGGAGTATGCATAAAGCATTCCTCTTTGGAAAAAAAGCTGGTTTCTTGTCCAGAGTTTCTACAATCTCGCTCGAAAGCTATCATGTCTCTCGACCATGGAATATGCTTGTCTTTTACAATTTGACGTCACCACATGCAAAGTACAGTTAACTAGATGTTACCCGCGACTCTGTCGGCGCAGATTAAAAACGTAATGAGGCCTACATCCCCTTCCAGACTGTTTTAACACCCATCCATACGTACATCCATTTCAGCATTTATAATATTACTTTTTAAGCGAGTTTAAATCGAGCAATGTAGCCATAAGTTTCAAAAGTATTGCAGATGTCGGGTCTTCGGTGAACAACTCGGAGTTCCCGCTGCTTTTTTGCCGCCTTATCGTATAAAAAATACAAAAACAGACTGCTGTCCCTTTCTCTCTTTTTGACAAAATAGAGACAACACTATATAAAAGTATTTTGACTATGAAAATCCAATGTTAAGAACCATATTAAGTGGTTAATCGCGATACATTTGTAAACATAAATTAACCCAATATTTAAAAAAAATCACGTTTATAAGCAAAAAATGCAATTATTAAATGTCATTTTATTTCGTCTACGCGAGTAGTTAAAAGTGTTCGCTGTATGCATTTTAATAAACGCCTCTCACTAAGTAGTTCCGGCTTTAAGCCGCGCCGCGAGCTGAGACCGGCACTTAATTACTACGCAAAGGTAAAAATCATTTTACCGAGTGTGGCGAGTGAGTTATGAATTTTGCATTTAATTTACAGAATCTATTTGAACTTTTCTTCTTTTCTGTTAAATGGTTTTTGTAAAAATGTTACATTTGAATTAAATTATTGCATCTTTAAAATGTAGCGGCATATTAAGTAATTATACTGTTTAACAGTCCCTTAGTGTAGATTTTCTATACTAATTACACACTTAGCGCTATCACAAACAATAAAAGATCCTGGAAGTGATAAATCGAATCTAATACCATTGTTTGAATTTGTTAAAAACATTTGAAAATTAAATTATTTTTGTAACAATTCAACAATAACAGTTGAAGAACAACATACTCATAATTTACACAAATCGTAGAAAAGAATGAAACATGTGTTTTATTAAATTATTTGAACTTAAGTGAGGTATACAATAAACTTATAAAAAAACGGCTAAACACTCACGTATATTCGTCCGGTGGCGGCACCGATTAGTCAGTGAGCGACGGCCCGCGTCCGCGAAATAATACCAGTCCCACTCACCCTGATGAAGGGCCTCCGACGGGCTCGAAGCTAGTCGGTGCCGCGACCGGAAGAATATACGCAAATGTTTTATGTTTAAGTACCATTTTCCACGTCCGATGGTATGTAATGCTTGGCATTTTAATAAACATTTGTGGCCAGACATTTGCATTCTCTAGGGATAACATTCAAGTGTTGGATAGGATATAAGGTCGCTTAAAGTTTACTGTGAAATTTCGCTGAGTAATCCGCTTAAAATTAATAGGTACTCCCTTAGGACAGGTCGTGTGTGCTTTTTGTATTATGAACGCAATATAGTTGACGATTGATGTTCGATTCTTGGTTCTTCCAGGGTATCATGGGGCTATAGTCGCGGGCGACAGTTAGTAAAGTTATAGATAAAAAATTAAAAAAATTGTGCTCTTAAATTTATTTATTAAGCTGTCGCCCGTGACTAGTTTCGCGAAGTTAAAAAAAAATAATTAGTAGCCTACGTGGTCTTCTAGCCTATTATATATCTGTGACAGATTTCAGCGAGATCAACGCAGTTGTTCTAGAGATATCTACTAACAAACATCCATCCATTTATCCATGTAAACATTCGCATTTATAATATTAGTAAGATCTAACGCTGGCTGGAGTGAATTTAGTAAAGTACCAACATCATTTGAAAATTCTTGTAATCGATCCCTAGTCGACAAACGTAACTGAACAAACGCGCGCTCACATCGATTTTCTCTGATAAATGGAGCAGATTTAAATTCGGAAACCCTAGTAGAAGTGCATAACGTGTTTGAAGAGAAATGAACGTATTCTGAACATTTACTTACTATTGCATATAGAATAGTTATTTATATAAATCTACACTAATATAATAAAACGTAATCACACACTTCTTTGTTTTATTTTTATAATAAAAAGCCAAAAAATATATTTTCACACCATCAACCTTAGGGTTAATTAAAAAAAAGTATTGCAAGAAAAGGACAAAAATTGCAAGCCAATAGCAGCAAAGATCGGTTGTTGCCATGGTAACGGTAAATCTCAGCCAATGGCGAACGTCTTCGTTATCATTTGAGCA